GGTATTCTATACGACATTATCTAGCCTAAGTCCGCTCGTAATAAGAACCTACGAAAGGAACTACCTCTATGTCTTTTAGTTACATTTAAGGGCCTTAAAGATAACGCACCCGCTTTATTTAATATTGGTTCGCGTAAGATTCTCCCTATCTTTCGAGTTCAGCGTAATATTAATAGGCAAGACGACGACTAGCGTAAGCAATTTCCTCTAACGGTCTCGTACGCTTTAATAGTCTATAAAGCTTAGGGTATAACTCTCGATAGAGCCGTTATTAAGCTTAGTCTAAAAGACTTCTCTACTAGGCTTATATATATAGCTTTCTCCTATATTAAGACCTTTGCTAGACTAATACTCGAGGAACCCTTCGATCTCGAGCGTATACGAAATCTCGCCGGTAATATATAACGTATACGCCTACTCGATAAATAGCGCCGCTAGTCTTAGTTTCTTCCTAAGCTACTAGATACCCCTATACTATCTTCTCGTCTTTTTAGTAGTATTAGAAGTGCCTTCGCTAACCTATCCGACAACTTCCGTATAGCGCTTAATTAGTAGCTACTCCCTTCCGATTACTATAATAACGACGATAATACGCCAATCTAGACTCTATTAGACTTGCCTCTCCCTAGTAAAGATAACGATTCTATAGACGTCGATAGTAAGCCTAATACTACTAAGCTAGTCGGCTCGTAGTTAAACGACGAAGAGATTCTAAGTTAGGGCTTCCCGCTAGTATCGGGTTAGGTTTATTATCCTTTGCCTAAAGTACGCCGCTAGCTATTGCTAATTCGCGAAGTTAATATAGACATAGATCGATTACTCTTTATCGAGCAAATCTAGTAAAAGGAGCGTCGTGCTTAGCTTGCGCTACGTTAATAGGCACGTTCTAGTCTATCCGATCCTATCCGTTTAGCTCGTCTACGCGCTATTTCTATCTCGTTAACTATGTCGACGTCTACGGTAGCGAGCTTAACTTTATTATCTCCCCCTACGCCTCTAGAAGCACCTATAAAAGCACCCGCAAAAGTATCTCCGAATATAGCTCCTTAGCCGATCCGTCTAGCGGACTAAGACTTAGAGCGGGAATTTAGAAAGTAGGTAAAGGTTGAGTTAGCTCTTCTACTAGTCTTCTAATACTACGAGTAAGAACTAATAGACGCTATACGCCCTCTCTAGAAGGCTTATTAGAGACAGTTTATTAACGACTTCGAGGGCAAGAGAGTGTTTTAGCAAGTCTTCCGCCGTATGTTTCTTACTAAAGCCGAGATTACCGCTACTAAATTACGAATCCTCTAGTACGCGAATAAGCAATAGTATCTTCTAACCGGCAGATGCCCCTATCCTTAAATAGTCTGCCTTATTAAACTTGCCTTCGAATATTAGGACACTAGTATAGGTCGTCGTATATAGGTTAACCTAGGTAACGTACGTATTTAAATAAAGGCTAGTACCGGCATCCCTCCTCGGAATTTAACGCATTTCGATAAAGTTATATATATTCCGCGAGAGCTCGATATTAGCTCTATATCCGACGAGGTTCTAAAGTCCTAGTATAACGAGGTTATTATAACCGACCTATTACGTCTATACGAAGAGACCTTTATTCGAGGCAGGGATCTTATTATACTAGATAAGGCTTACCCGTTCCTCTTCCTCTCTAAGGCTAGCGAAACTAACGTAATTAATATATTAAATATAGCTATTAATGCGATCGAGACCTTTAGATAGCTATCTACGGCTAATCCTTAAGCTATCGATTATTAATAGTAGACCGATAATAGCCGCGAGGGTATTTATTAGTACTAGTAGAGCAGCAACGATCTCCTAAGTGCTTTTAACTCTTTTAACTTCTCGCCCGACGACAAGCTCCGAGCTAATATCTTCCTATATTCGTCTAATAAGCACCTTGTTACTACGCTTATCGACCTACGTACCGCTATTATCTAGACTTAGAATTCGTAGCTAGACGTCTACTCGAATAGAGAAAGAGCAATCGGCCCTCTTAGTATACGTCTTATTCTAGCTTTTATATACCTACTCTCGCTCTTCCCGAATGCACGTACCGCTAGCTAGCTATTAGCTAATTAGTAGATATATAAAGAAGTATACTAAGTTACTCGCTAGGTAGACGCGTACAGCTACGGCACTATCGCTATTAATAACGTAGCCGCTCTTATATAGGGTTAAATTCCTTACTAGGTCGTCGGCGACGAAGCGTAGCTTCGGGCTTACGCACTTAACCTTCGTATGCAGTACCTAGATACGCTATATAATAGCATAGATTAGGACTTTCGGCCGCCGCTAGCGCGAATGCTAAACATCCCTACAATCTCTCCTATCTAGGCAAATAAGTTTAGTATAGCGTATTACTAGCAGATCCTTTATAAGTTAGAAGAGCGGCGGTCTAAGGCAAAGTAGTAGGTAGAGGCAGACAAGCAAATCTAGGAGTACCTAGCGAAGGAGGCAGCAAAGGCAGCCGGCGAGGAGGTATCGAGTTCTAAAGCCGAAGTGCCTTTAGATTAGTTTAATTTCGAGGGAGGTAATAGCGACGCCGATATAGATATAGATAATAAGTAGCAAGGCGTACGTAGAGACACAAGATAAAGGCAAAGCCTTTATCTAGATTTAGTCGATTAAGCCTATTTCTACGAAAAGCACGCTAGTAAAAGTAATTAACGCGATAACGACCGTAGCTTCTAATTAGCTAACTATAAGGCGAAAGCTTCGCTCGCACTTCTAGGTACGCGTAGCCGCCTAGGAGCATATTTTATTATACCTAGTACGCTAAGTAAGACACCTGCTCGGGCTCTTATAAAGACTAGTCTACGTAATGTTATACTACCGCGGAATATCGTTTAGTACGAGAAGCTAATAGTAGAATTCTTCGACTAGGTTACCTTATAGCGCGAATTCTAGGATTACGACTATTTATAGCCTTATATCGCCTATTTCGTTAGTATAGGCTAGACGCTAGAGACTATCTACAATTTGATAAAGGACGACTAGCCGGCGGCACTCGATAAAGTAGATAGTATAAGGTTAAGATTAAAGAAAGCTATCGTCGAGTTTATAAGGAAGAAATAGGATAAGATTATAGCGGCGGAAGTAGCCGTAGCGGAGGAAGGAGAGAATTTCTAGGAATCCGGGCTTTCTTTAGGCATCGATCTTTATATAACTATAATATATATAAACTTGTAATAAGCGGGAGATTCTTGCGGTAATAGCACTTATTTAGCCTATATATAATTAATTAATATAATGCGTTAGTTATAGAATACTAAGAGCGATAGGCAAAGCTAGCGTTTAAATACATTTATTCGAATCTCTAACTCGGAGCTTTCCGCGCGCTAGTAGCGACTAGTTACATTACTCGAAATCTTCGAAGTCTACCTTTTATTCGCTATCTTCCTCGTTATCTTCCTTAAATACACCCTTACTATTATAATACACTTCCGATATGTCGTTAATTATCGACAGTAAGGTATTCTAAGCCTAATCTATCTATTAGGACTCTTCCGGATTAAGCGCTAGTATATTCTAAGCCGCTCTAGCGGTATATTCGAATTCGGCTAGATCGTACGGAATATCGACTCTATTAACATTATATCTAGCAGTAGCGAAGAGTCTACGCGCCCTTCGGCCTTTATACTTATATAGATACTATAGTAAGTAATCTTAGAACCTATAGAACTTTAGAAGCTAATCTCTATATTTTTTAATAACCTTCTTTAGTAGGTTAAAGCTCCTTAGCTCCCTTCGATAGGGTTTAGATCCGGCGAGTATAGCGGCAAGTACTCGAGTTAATAGCCGGCTTCTAGTATTAGCTCCTTTACCCTTCTACTATAGTAGATACTAGCATTGTCTATTACAAAGATTATCGGCGGACTATCTTTAAGGTACGGTAATACCTAATCTTCGAGCTAGGTTTAAAAGCGCTCTACGTTAATCGACCCTTAGTAAATATATATATAATATAGATACTCGTATACCGTAAAAGCCGGTAAAACTAACTATCTTACTTCTCGCTTAGTATACTATATATTAACGCAGGTTATACCTCTTAGAGACTATCTATACTTCCGCTAACCTATCTTCTAATTGCTAGCCGTCTTATCGATAAATACGAGTCGATCTACCGGCTATTAAGCGTACCTAATCGTCTATAGAGCCCTTAAGAACAGGTTACGCTCCTTCGCCTTAACTTTAACCTCCTTTCGAGAGAGACCTATCTCCTTCTTTAGTACCTTCGAAAGCAACGCCGGCCTTATAACTATACCGCTACTACCTTTACTTTCCGGCCTTAATCGAGGAAATTTATCTTAAAGAGCTTATATTATTTCTATAAAGTAGGCGTCTAGCCTATCGTCGAGATATCTACGTAAATACTCGCGCTTAGAGGCTAGAAGTGTCGACTTAGTACTATTCCTTCGAGTACTAGTATTAGTTATATATAACTCTCTAAATAAGCGCTACTTTACTTAATATCGATAGACCGAGTAGATACTTAATAGTAACTTCGAGAAAGTAAGGACCTACTTAGGAGTTATACCTTTACTAAAGAGATTAACTAGTTAGCCTTACTAGTCGAGATTAATACGAGCGGACTTTACTATAGTAGCGGTAGTAACGATAATAATACCTCGGAAGGGTCTATACTACTAAAATACCGTCGATATAATATCTACGATATTTAGAGGACTCTAGGCGTTAGAAGGAGGAGAAATAATTAAAAAAACTACTAAAATGGCGGTGTAGTTCCTCTCTCGGAGGTGCAGGGTTCTCCCCGCACCGGCACTAACAGGTTGAGGGCAACCGATAGTAATGTCTAATGCTGCTGCCAAGAAACGCGCCTGCCCTGCCAGCACTTTGCGACGCGTCGGGCCAGACGCGTTCGCGACTCTCTGTCGACCTGCTTCATCACACCTTTCAACCATGACACGACACACTCTTCTCTAGTAATCCCGATTGACGGTCGAAGCGGAAGCGCACCTTACGCCGCCATGTCTTCCCGGCCGGAGCTCAAGGTCGACGATGAGGCTGGCTTCGTCAAGACCTTCTATCAGCTCGAGAAGGAAAAGCCCAAAGATTCCATTCGCATCTTCGACCGCGGCGACTTTCTCTCAGCCCACGGCGACGATGCTGAATTCATCGCCAATGTCCAGTACAAGACCACTTCCGTCTTGAAGACCTTGGGCAGAAATCCTGGGCTTCCATCAGTGACAATGACCGTCACTGTCTTCCGCACATTCCTCCGGGACGCTATCTTCCGACTTGGAAGAAGGATCGAAGTTCTGGAAAGCTCCGGCCGGAGTCAGTGGAAAGTCACCAAGCAAGCCTCACCAGGCAATCTCCAGGACATCGAGGATGATCTGGGCGGCCACGTCGAGTCGGCACCTATCATCCTGGCCGTCAAGGTGTCAGCAAAGCCTAACGACGCCCGGAATGTTGGCGTCTGCTTCGCTGATGCCAGTGTGCGAGAACTTGGTGTGAGCGAATTTGTCGACAATGACATATATTCCAACTTTGAGGCACTCATCATTCAGCTCGGTGTCAAAGAATGTCTCATTCAAACAGATCTCTCCAAGAAAGATGCAGAACTGCACAAGCTGAAGACCATCGCCGACAACTGCAATTGTGCCGTCTCTGAGAGACCAATCGGAGACTTCAGTGCCAGGGACACAGAACAGGACCTGGCGAGGCTACTACGCGACGAGAAAGCAACTGCTGCCCTGCCGCAGACCGACCTAAAGCTCGCAATGGCATCTGCGGCCGCTTTGATGAAGTATCTTGGCATCATGTCTGATCCGAGCAACTTTGGCAATTACCAGCTCTACCAGCACGACTTGACCCAATACATGAAACTCGACTCCTCAGCTTTGAAGGCTCTGAACCTAATGCCTGGGCCGAGGCACGGGTCCAAGACGATGAATCTGTTCGGTCTCCTCAACCACTGCAAGACACCCGTCGGAAGTCGGCTCCTGGCACAATGGCTGAAGCAACCTTTGATGAGCCTAGAGGAAATTGAGAAACGTCAGCAGCTTGTCGAAGCGTTCGTTAACGACACCGAACTCAGACAGACATTGCAAGAGGAACATCTACGATCCATACCTGACTTATATCGCTTGGCCAAGAAATTCCAGCGCAAGAAGGCAAATCTTGAAGATGTGGTGAGAGCATATCAAGTCGCGATTCGAATACCAGATTTCATCGGCACTTTCGAAGGAGTCATGGATGAAGCATACAAGAACGCATTGGACGAGACTTATACGAACAAGCTTCGAAGCTACTCGGATAGCTTGGCCAAGCTTCAAGAAATGGTCGAAACAACTGTAGACCTGGAAGCGCTGGACCATCACGAGTTCATCATCAAGCCAGAGTTCGACGACACTCTTCGTGTCATCCGCAAGAAGCTGGACACTCTCCGATACAACATAGATAAGGAACATGAGCGTGTTGGCAGCGACCTTGGACTCGACACAGAAAAGAAGCTGCTGCTCGAGAACCACAGAGTTCATGGATGGTGCCTACGTCTTACACGGACCGAAGCCAGCGTAATCCGAGGCAAGAAGCACTACCCCGAAATTGCCACGCAGAAGAATGGCACTTACTTCACCACACGTAAGCTCCAAGAGATGCGACGCGAATTCGACCAGCTCTCGGAGAACTACAACAGGACTCAATCTGGTCTCGTCAACGAAGTCGTCAACGTTGCGGCATCATACTGCCCCGTTATTGAGCAACTTGCCGGCGTACTGGCACACCTAGACGTAATCGTTAGTTTCGCTCACGTCTCCGTCCACGCTCCAGCGGCATATGTTAGACCTAAGATTCACCCTCGTGGCACAGGCAGCACAAACCTGAAAGAAGCCCGACATCCGTGCCTGGAAATGCAAGACGACGTCCAATTCATCACCAACGACGTCACCCTCGCCCGAGAATCCAGCGAATTCCTCATCATCACAGGTCCAAACATGGGCGGAAAATCCACATACATCCGGCAAATCGGCGTCATCGCCCTCATGGCCCAAATCGGCTGTTTCGTCCCTTGCACAGAAGCAGAACTCACCCTCTTCGACTGCATCCTCGCCCGAGTAGGAGCAAGCGACAGCCAACTGAAAGGCGTCTCCACATTCATGGCCGAAATGCTCGAAACCTCCAACATCCTCAAAACCGCAACCAAAGAATCTCTCGTAATCATCGACGAACTCGGACGAGGAACTTCCACTTACGACGGCTTTGGTCTCGCATGGGCAATTTCCGAACACATAATCAAAGAAATCGGAGCTTTCGCCATGTTCGCCACACATTTCCACGAATTGACTGCTTTGGTCGATACGTACCCCCAAGTCCAGAACTTGCACGTCGTCGCACATATCAGTGGCGAGGCTGAAGACACGGACATGACAAACAACGGCACATCCACCCGCCGCCGCGAAGTAACCCTCCTCTATAAAGTCATCCCAGGAATCTCCGATCAATCCTTCGGAATCCACGTCGCCGAACTCGTCCGCTTCCCACAAAAAGTCGTAAACATGGCGAAACGGAAAGCCGATGAACTCGAAGACTTCTCCAAGAAAGACGACAAGGAGGAGAAAGAGGAGTTGAATGGCAAAGCTGCGAAAGAGGAAGTTGAAGAAGGGAGTAGGTTGTTGAAAGAGGTTTTGTACAAGTGGAAGGAAGAGGCGGAAGGGTTGAGTAAGGAGGAACAAGTGCAGAAAATGCGGGAACTTGTGAAGGGGAATGAGAAGTTGTTGGCGAATCCCTTCTTTCAGAGTGTGAAGGCGCTGTGATGATGAGTTCACATGGTGTTGCGCTTTGTTTGATGGATGTTTTTGACCTGTGGCAAATACCACCACGTACGACTTTGCAAGAGTGGTTCGAATGAATGGCTGGCTGGCTTTGGAGATGTTGACAAGCAGATTGAACCACTCCAAGTGATACTGCTTCAGTTGCACTTCCGTCTCTCAACCACCGCTTGGCTTTGACCACTGGTAGTCGCATCAGCTTGCTTGGCCCGGAGACGATCAGCGATATGGCGTCTGGGAGATGAGAAAGGCACAGCTATTCCGACCGAATAATGAGAAGTATCATTTGTTCAAGCACGAGACTGTCTGACTCAAAATGTCCAAAATTGCTAGCCGCTTCACCGTAAGAATTTTGCCTTCCCGATCGCTATGCTCGTGAAAATGCATCTCAGAAACACGAATGTCTTATCTGCTGCAGCGACAGTATTCGTATCTTCGGCGGCAGAATCTGCACGTCGTGAGTCGATCAACGTCTATGCGTACCAAACCGATTGTTTCCACCGCGTCCTTGGCAAATACATCGATTCTATTCGGGCCGCTCTTCCACCTGCGGATGACGGCGCCGTCCACTTCCCAATTTTGATACCCATCCACTGTGGGAGGATCCCAAGTGGAAGACCACATTGATGCCGCTGCCGCTGCCGTCTTCGCTGCTGGAGGTATCGTAATATGTACAGGACGTGGTGGAGCTGGTATTGCAAGAGAAGGACTAACAGAGGAAGGTCGTGCTGGAAGGTCGGCCGCGGGTGGCGGGGAGGGTACAGACGCAGACTTCGGTACAGGTTCACCAATTGCCCCAAATTTGCACCCCGATGGTGCCTCATAAGCAAGCTCGGAGGGCGCGCTTTGTAGTGCACCCTATGCATCTTGAGATCCCTTCGTGGTGGTCTCAGTCTCATCATCTATTTTGGCCTTTTCGAGCTCTTGTGCAGCGTCAGCGACATCCTTCTCGGCACCGGCAGAGGCGGAGCCGTTAACTTGCTTCTCGGCAGCGGGCTTGCGGGATTCTTTCTTCGAGTTAGCAGCGGAAGCATCAGCAGTGGCCTCCGCTTCGAGCTTGTCAATCTCAGCCTGAGCATTGGCGATGTTCTCCTTCGTCTTGCGGTCCTGGTCTTCCTTCCAGAAGGCAAGCTTCTCTTTGATCTTCTCAACGACGCCTGGAACATCTGCTTGCGACATTGGTGGGTCAATCCTAATGCGCGCAAGGCTGTCGAGGGTGCCAACATCCAGGTTGAACTTCTCGGCCGAAGCTGCTGGAGCAGCCTTGCGATTCTTCTTCTTCTTGCCGCCGCCGCCCACGAAGTAGTTGTCGTCGTCGTCATCACCCTTCTTCTTGAGGGCAGTACCCTTGATTGCGGAGTCGTCAATCTTTCTGCTTGCCTGGGCGGCAAACTTTCCGGGGCCTGCAGCCTCCTGCTTCGCAACGGATGATGGGTCGAAGTAGCTGAGAACGGACCGTGCGATGCGGATCTCTTCGTCGTAGGCGGGCGCGCTGGCATCATCGAGTTTGGCCTTGGCAGCTTCCTGTCGCCTGCCACGGTGATAGGCATCGTTCTCGGCTTGTCTCTTCTCGTCACGGATACGTCTGGCCTCTTGCTCATAGCTGCGGAGAAAGTCAGTAAATGTGCTCCTCCGCAAATGATGTGTTCTGGCAGAATGAATGATCATTCACATCCCAAGCTTCGTAAAGGCCACGAGTTAGCGAAATGGTTACTCACTCCCTGGCAGCACGGCGCTGCGAGAAATAGGCATCCTTAAGTTCCTTTAGAGCGAGGTACTTCTTCTGTCGTTCTTCTTCTGCCTTCTTCTTCTCTGCGAAAAGCGAATCGAGATTGGATTTGGCCTCGTTCTGCTCAGCCTTCATTTGGTCGAGCTCGGCCTGGATAGCGGTGTAGCGATCGGACAGTGCTTTCGTCTCGGGGTCCTCGAGCTTCTTGCGCTCCTCTGCGATCTTGGCCTTGAGATCATCGATGGCCTTTTGACCCTGGAAAGAAGTAGGAAAGTCAGCAAGGGGTAGAGCTACTGCAACGACCCCACGACTAAGATGCTAAGCACATGAAGTTGTGGTCTGTCGGTTCTTTTCATGCACTCACGTCTGAGAAGCCGGAGAAGCTCTTCTTCACACGGTTGAGCTTGGAAATCTCATCCAGCGCCTTTCTCTCGTCAACGATCTTAAGAGTGCCCGCGTCGACCTGCTTCTGCAAGCGAGTGATCTCCTGATCCACCTCATCTGCGCTCTTGTACGGGATCTTGCCGCGAGCGGTCTTCTGCTCTGTGATGCGGCTCTTGAGCTGCTCGTCGAGGCGCTTGATGTTGCTTTGGATTTCGTTGCGACCTGTTTTGCTGGACGCCTGCTGGCTGCGAATCTGGCTCAGCTCGGCGAGCAGTTCAGCCCTGCGCTTGCTCGATGGCGAGTCTTTGCCTGCTCTCGCATTGTCGACCTTGGCGCGAGCGGCTTTCTATCATTTCGTTAGCCTCCCTCAAGTGAAAATGTGGATACAAGCAGAGCGATGCATATTGCCGAGTGTGAACAAGCGGCGGGGGTGCATGTGCTGCATGAAGCCGTTAGTGTAAGAAATAGGAAAGACCTACCTGCTTTGTATCAGCAGCTTGAAGTTCCTTCTCAGCCTTCGCGAGGTTGGTCTTGTAGGCTTCTTCGTCAGGTCGCTCTGGCTTGACCACGCTGGGCTTGTCCGCCGGCTTTGCAGCAGTCTCCGCCATGGTGCGCAGGGGGTTAGCAGCCTCGACGCTGCTGTGGTATAACGAGGAATAAGCTGTGGTGGACGACGGATCACCAACGACCTTCCATCAATGTGATCTTGGCGAAGGTGACAGGTGGAAGTTCAATGGCAAGAAAGAAGAAGGCACGACGGCACGCATGTGGAGCGGCTTCGAAATCGAAATGCAGCTTCAAGGTTGCGCCGCGCTAGACCCACTTGTGGTGCACGGGCCAAGCGCTAGTGAGGGTGAACCACGAGCCGAACATCTGACAAGAACGGACCCTGATCTTAACAGCAATCACCCACAATCAACATTGATGCCTTGACTGGAGCTCGAGCTTGGAATATGGGGGGGTTTTTTTTTCTACAAAACATATTCTAGGACAACTTTCTCAAGATGGACCGTCCTTGATCTTCGATCGTATCAACTCCAAGTGTCCACTTTCACGGAGCCCTCTCTGTTTGCCCTAGCCAACAGATATATCTTGACCGTGGACAGTCCTGCAGTCGCTGACGTGTTCGGCACATTCGGTGCAGTATGCTGGTCAATCCAACCCATCCCTCAGATTATCATCAACTACCGTCGCCACAATGCCACTGGACTGGAGCCGAGGATGATGTTCTAGGCCTGGGCAGGAGTGCCTCTGGGTGTATACGACATCGTGTCCAACTTCAACATCGCATTGCAATCCTCATCATCCCATACTGCCGCATTCGGTGAATCTGTAAAATACAGGCCCCCAACCGTAGGCACAAAGTCACTGCCTTGTTGAGGATAAACCAGGAGAAAGTACCCATCCGTGTCTCGTTTTGGCGCACCGAATAAGAGACACGGATCAGCAGCATTGGTGGGAAGGGCATTATCGTGACATTCTGCCTGACAAGTCGCGAAATTAGGTGGCGAGCTGTAGTCATATGAGAATTGAGCGACATAGCTTGGCCCAATTAGAGCTGATGTTCCACAAGTTGGCGTTGACGTCGGTGTTGCCAAGCTTGTGATGCGATTGTCACGGCAAGCGAGGTCGTGGAGGCCGAGATCATTGACACGACTTCTCCGGAGACGTGACGTAGCAGCAGAACCGCCGCAAACCTGTCGCCCAAAACCCGCGAAGACTCTCCGACTCACGCTTCTTGCTGCCAGAGCATGTCTAGAGTAAGAGCTATGCATCGTGTCAACCCGACTTAGTTGGCAGCATTTGGAGGGGGGGTTCTTTCCGAGACGGTCTTCCTTTTCTCTGGAGGAAACTCGAACTGTTCGCAGCATTTGCAGGATCTCGATAATGCACCTAAGGGCCTCATATGAATGTTGAGATGGATGAAGAGTATCAGATCATCATGCAAAAGTGATAGAGTTGGATCATTACTGCGATTCAATAACAGTAGCTGGGCCTGGCTTGATTCTATGTTCTGGCTCGGCTCAAGAAATTGGAAGCAGGGTTGGTAGTAGGGCACGGCATGTTTCTGGCTTCTGTGACGAAGAGCACTGTTCACGAGACCTCTCATGGAAACGCCACGCGAGGCCTGACCGAAAAAATGAGGCCTTTCCAAGCTTCACTCGATGCTCTAGACCCTGGTGCTGCTGCGAGTGGATCCACAAGCTCGAGACAATCTTATTCAATGCAGCATATGTAGGAGCACGGCGGTCTTCAAAATTTCAAATCTCACTCCGTGACGGCTCCGAACTCGGAAAGACTTGAGACGCCGATGTGAAGCGTATAGTCGAACGGAGCGAACGTAGAAGGATTCCGATACGGACTTGGACAATTCGCTCCGAAGGACTAATTCTGCTAGAATAACGACCTTCATTCCTCTCAAGTGCCGTATCATAGGCATGTATAGCAGACGCACAGAGATCCCCATCAATGAGTAAGCATTGGATCTGAGAGATAAACGATAAGAACTTCGTGCACTAAAAGCAGTGGCGTTTACTTCAAGGCAGAGTTAGTGTAAGAGAAAATCTGGATTTGGGGACCAAACCTGATGGAGCATGAGCTGGTCATAGGCTGCACATTCCGTAAGAGCCGTAAGAGGGCGTGAAGCCTGCACTCAGATGGGGCGAATGTTTAACTGGAGCTCAACATGTAAGCCTATAGTGCTAGCGATGGTGTGAACGGTATGGATTGAGCACTGCTGAAATGACTCGCAGGTGGGAAATATCATTCGCAAGCTACGAACGTACACTGCGGTGGAGCGAACACGGTTGCCATCGTCGCCCACCGTTGAGCAAAGCACAGCTGACTTCAAAGCAATGCGCTCGCCATGAACCACTGCGATCGTCCTCTGATTCCGTGGGAGCGCATACACAACACAGGACAGACAAGCTGTCCACGAGCATTGAAAATAGCATGGCGTCAACATTCAGAGCAAGTGCGAGCTCCATGCCAACAGCGTCGCCCGTTGGACCAAGCGCGGTTGACTTTCTGGGAGTATTATGTGCCATCAACCTCTCTGAATAAGCTGCGACTCCGCTGAAGAGCACATTATCCCCAGGCTCAACATCCTGTTCACGAGCTTCTAACATGGATTCGGATGAAGTGAGAGTCTAGCTCGACTGCCTAACAAACGCCAACGGTTAGCGGCCGTTACACGAAGCGCAACTGGCCTCAAAGCAGTGCTTTCCGCTGGGAGCCTCTCTGATTGGCATAGTGACTCCAGTGCAGCATAAATACTCTAGAGGCCCGACATTCCATTTGCGAGTACGGAACCTCGAGTCGAGCGGAGCGGTCGAGCAAAAGTGAAGAAGTCGCTCCTTCCTTATTCGGCACAGATCTCATTCACTGTCGAGCGAGCCGCACATTCTCACATGCAGGGTCCAAGTCACGCGCCTGCACATTTACACCTCGACATTAACATCTGCGCCTTCCACTTGACTTTCTTCCACGACCAACAACATCGATACCAAGAAGACACCCTCAACACAACCGCAACAATGAGCGACACGTGTAAGAATGCTTCCAATGGCCTCACGATAGCTCGCGCTGACCAATTTCGCAGCTTCCGTCAAAGCCATAAAGGAGTCCACCACGCGCCCGACCAGCGTGTCCGGCGGCGACACCGAGTCGGTCATCTCTGCGCCGCAGATTCCAGGCGCGCCGCCACCAACCCGCACCCACACTGTCGCTGGTGACCTTCCAGACTACGACTACATCCAAGCCAAGCTGGCGAATGCCCACCTCAGCACGCCGCCAACTTCCGTTAGAGCCGGAGAAGATGGTAGGTAACACTTGCGTTGCTTTTCGGCTTTTTCCTTCCCTGGGCGATATTTTTGGGCGCGAAACTAGCATGCGCATCGCTAACAGCAGCAGGCGCCAAGCTGGGAAGCATCACTTCGGAGGAAAGCGCAGAGTTCATGGAGGCGAACAACTGGGCAGAGAACGCAGAGGAGGACCTTCTCAATGCGCTTCACCGCATCGCGACTGCCGCCAACGACGAGCACAAGGCCGACCCAAGCAAGAGCGTGGAGGAATACTACTCAGTTCGCGTCGCCAAGGTGCTGAAGGAAGGACCGATCAAGTTCGATACTGAGTACTTGAAGTGAAACTGAGGATATGGGAGCGCGAACTGAAATTCTTGGCATTTGTCACATGCATGAACTGATTTGAGATACCCGAGACGCGAGTGGCAAGAGCATTGAAAGTGAAATTAAGTTAAATACCGAAAATTGCATGTGACAGCCTCGACCTTCTCTCCAGTCTCACGCTCTAAGGTGCTTGATGGACTTTGCAATGCTTTTGCCTAGCTCGTATCCGTAGAGTTGAGGGTGGATGTGGCAGAGGTGATGGAGGCTTTTACACCTAGAATTGGCCTATTTCCAGTCCCAACCTTCTCTGTGAGAATACGCTTTAAGGTGCTTAATGGACTTTGCAATGCTTTTGCCTTGCTTGTATTCGCAGAGCTAAGAGTGGATATAGCAGAGGTGATGCAGCCGTTCGCACCTAGATATAGCCTGTTTTCAGCCTTACTCTCTCTGCAAGGACACACTTCAAGGTGCTCAATGGATTTTGCAACACTTTTCCTGGCTCGTATCTGTGGAGTTGAGAGTAGATATGGTAGAGGTAATGGAGGCTTTCGTACTTAGAATTGGCCTTAATCTTCTCTCCAAAGACATGCTTCAAGGTGCTTAATAGATTTTGCGACGCATTTCCTAGCTCGAACTCGAGGAGTTAAGGCTCGAGACGGCAGAGGTAATACGCGTATCTGAATCTTGGATCAACCTATTTCAAAGCCTGCGCTCCGATCTATAGCAACTACTAGGGCCATTTATGGATTCTGCGACGCGTATCCTAGGTTCTTATTCGTGGAGTTGAGATTCGAAACGGCAGAGGTGATGTACGCATTTGAATCTTGAATCAGCACGCTCCGACATACAGCAACTGCTGAGGCCATTCGTGGATTTTGCGATGCGTATTCCAGGTTCTCATCCGTGGAGTTGAGATTGGAAACGGCAGAGTTGAGGCAAGTATTTGGATTTAAACTCCACCTGCTTTTACTCCTAGGCTTCGACACACGGCAACTGCTAAGGTAGCCGATGGAGTTTGCGACGCATATTCCAAATCCTGATTCGTGGAGTAAGAGTCTAATTAGGAGAGGGTAATAGACCCATCAGATCACGCAGTTGGCCTGTTTCTATTATTGCACTCCACTCTACAGCAAATGCTGAGGTAGCCGATGCAGTTTGCAAGGCATGTTCTAGATCCTAATTAGTAGAGTGAAAGTTGAAATCGGAGGTTAATAGATCTATTAGATTACATTCTCGACCGGTTTCTAGCATTGCACTCCGCTCTATAGTAAATACTAAGATAGTCGAGGGACTTTGCGACGCATATTTAATGCTATAATCTATAGAGTTAGAAGTCGAAATAGTAGGAGTAATGAAAGCATATAATTACGGAATTGGGTCGTTTCTAGCATTGCACTCCGTTTCGTTCTAGCTGCTAAGGTAGCTAATAGATTCTGCAACTCCTTAAGTAGAGCAAATTAATAGAGTGTAGCGTCGAAATTAAATAGTGAAATCGAGACAACTAGCCTGTTTCTAGCATTGCACTCCGTTCTTTTCTAGCTGCTAAGGCAGCCAATAGATTCTGCAACTCTTTAAGTAGAGCAAATTAATAGAGTAGAGCGTCGCGACATTCGAATAGTAAAATCGAGACAACTAGCCTATTTGTAGCATTGCACTCTAGGATATCGAAGGCTAGGAGGCAGCTAATAGATTTTACGACTCCTTAAATAGAGCAAATCAATAGAGTAGAGCGTCGATTCAAATATTAGAATCGAGACAACTAGCCTGTTTCTAGTATTGCACTCCGAGATGTCGAAGGCTCGGAGGCAGCTATTTATAGTTGTTGATTATTAATTACTAATAATTACTAGTTACTATAATTACATGTAACTACGATTATAATTACTAAGTAAGTAACTAGTAATTATAATTAGCAATTAGTCGGCTGTTCTTAGGCAATACTAGGGTATATATTACACCTACAGTAGGTATCAAATTTGCACTAGTTTCTACCTATTTCTATAAACAATAACATACTACAATAGGCGACTTTTATCGAGAGGTAGGTATATAGAATATAGGTATAGGAAGTCGCTAATTTTAATAGGTTGCTAAGTTACTAGTGTCTTCTTAAGAAGAAGAGTTGTTGTTGTCGCTAATATAGACTTCCGACCTATTAACTACGGCCTTCTTAGCAATATAGAGCTATTACCTACAGTTATTGCTAAAGGACACGCTAGTTACCTATCCGACTCTTAGCTAAACCGACTAATTTGTTACCCCTACTTAGCTCCACTTCTAATAGGCCGGTATACTGTCCTTTATCGATAAAGTAGCGTAGAAGGACTTCGAGCAGTATATTAGAGGGGCTAAAAAGGAGGGCTTATAGTTGCCGTATCGGAGGGTTACGAGGAAGACAATAAAGAGCCTTCGCTATACTAATAAGATTATTAAAAGGGCTACTAGCTATTAAGAGCGTATAGCTAATAGCCTTTAGAAGGTATAAGAAGGCATAGACCGCAAAGGCAAGCCTATATTGCCGCTAGGTTCTCGTCGTTATCTCAAATTTAGAAGGAGGTATATATGCTCGGAGGAGTGCTTTCTCGGGCTAAAATCGTAGTGTCCGCTGCGATAGGTGTACTTCAAGGCTCGTATCGACAAGGTACTACACTATCTAATCGATAGCGAGGGTGCTAAGGTTGCTAGGTACGGTAGTAAGGTTGTTATTGTTGTTTAAGTATAGAATTAGTCGTAGAATAGTATTCGAGCTTGCTGTCGCGCCTATAAAGATTGCGTTATATTAGCCTTAGGGTCTAGCTAAGCCTAATCGGAAAGCGTCGCTTAGCTCGGACGGCAAGGTCCGCACGGCTTAGCCGCACGCTAGCAAACTCAAAGTTTGATATTCATTGTTTAATTTAAGACAATAATACCTTCGATATGCGAGACAACCTCCGTAAGAAGCATAAACTAACTTAGAAAGTGCTAGAAAATTATGTAAATACCTAATTATCGAAACGGGAAAGCGACCTACTAGACCGGATACTATTCTATAAAGATTCGAGCGATCTAAGCGACATTCCAAGCTCCGAAGCTAATAAACCTCCGTCTCTAATACTAGACGAGGATACCTTGTTCCTCTAAGCTTCTAATTCTATACGGCTATCCACCTCGCAGTCCTCGAATATACCGAATATAGCATAGTCGATACCTACGCCTACGGTCGCCGAGTTGAGGAAACGTAGAAGAGGCAGAAACTAGCTAGATCCGGCGTTATAGGCGCATACGAGAGCACTAAAAGATAGAGAGCCTTCAAAGGTCGATAGAGGCAGGTATAAGGCATTCTACTATATACACTGCGACAATAACGACCCTAATCGGTACGCGTCTAATTCTAGTAACGCGCCTTAGTACCTAGCTAAGAAGCACTTTATATTTGTCGGTATTAAGAAGCGGAAGCTCGAAGGCACTTATTAAAAGCAGACGAAGATTGACCTCTTAGTACTATAGAAGAAGCAAGGCTCTATTAAGTCGGACAAGACTATAAACATACTTAAAGGTACCGCGGATAAGGACAAATTCAGATACGCCCTCGCTCGCTTTATAATAGCTAATAGTATCGCCTATACTGCGCTAGTTACGAAGGAATTTAAGGACCTTATACTAACAGTCAATCTATACGCAGAAGGAGTCCTTCTTAAGAGCTATACTTCACTGTTTCCTCGTATTCTATATAACTTCGAGAGCTAGCGAGCAGTAGTCAAACAAGCACTGTTAGCAGCGCTTAGTTGCCTTTACTTCTATACTAATACGTAGAAGTCTTAGTATAGCTATAAGTTCTTCTAAGCCATTAATTGCTAGTATATTAACACGCAGGGCCGGCTAGTCCAAATACTACTAGATTTGCTACAACTTCTACCTAGCTCTTATACTAGTAACTTCCTTGCTAAGACTATCCTGCCTTGCTTCTTAACCTTCGAGATAGCTAGCAAACTTAGCTAGATAACGACTAACAGCGGCTCTAACAACAATATACTCAGTATAGCTATTAAGCGCTTTATAGACTTACAAGGCTACTCGTACTAGAAGAACCGTCGGCTCCGCTATATTAGTTACATCCTCAACCGTATAACTATAGCCTTTATATTTGCTAAGGACGTAGAGGCCGCTAAGAGTGAGGAATTTGATTAAACAGTACTTAGCAACGACAGCGACAATATCTCTATATCGAGGTAGCTAGACATAGACGTAGAGTGCTTCGTTAAATAAGGACTATTATAACGGCTATTCGCACTCGCTAAGCTTCTACGGAAGAACGATAATAACAACATCTTCTAAGAGGTCTGTAAGGCCTAGCTACAACTGCTATATATAGTACTAAAGATCCCCGGTGAAACGCGCTAGAATAGCTAGCTTCTAATAATAGAAGAGGCTATTTAAACTAGGCCAATCTTGAATACCTTCTTCGATAGAATGCCGTACCTACGTAAGTTTAGCCTAGCCGACGACGACTAGAAGGTTCTTGCTTATATAAGGAGGTTTCTTAATCTATTCAAAGAGGTTACTCTTCGGCTTTAAGGCTACGCTATTACATTCGATATATATCAAGAGTCTATAGAATACCTAAGAAGCTACTTTATACGCTTAGCTAGCGAGAATACTTACCGGACGGTCCTTATTAGGTCTATTAATATAGCAAGGACGCTATTCGACAAGTACTACGTCCTTAACTAAAAGAGCCCTCTCTACGTTACTATAGTACTGCTATATCTAAGCCGACGACTTACCTAGCTTAGAGGCCGCTCCGCGGTAGATATAGACACTACCTTGTTACAGTCTATAGCGCTTTAGAAGGACTATAAGACACGCTTCGGAAACAGCCGTTAACTACTAGTTACGCTATAGCGCTCCTTTAAAGGACTATCGGACCTCGAGCGCTAGCAAATTGAGTCTCAAACTGACCTAGTTGCTACTAATAAGGACCCCTTCGAAGCCTTTATCTATGCTAGTCTAATAGCACTGCTACTAGTTGGCCTCGAGAAGCTAGTTATAATAAGTCCTATCGACTAGTAGGTTCAATAGCGGAAGACCTACGATCTAGCGTTATAGCAATTGGCTATTAATACATTGTTAGCCTTTACTATATCCGCTAAGTCCGAGAGGACCTTTAGTATAAGCCGCCGTACCGCTAGATAGGACCGTACACGTATAAGTAGTGACTATATTCGCATAAACGAGTGCTCGAAGAACTAGATAAGAATAGGGGTTGCTAAGGTACTATTAGAATTGGCCGTACTAGAAGAGGTAGAAGAAGAAGGAATATTACTAGTCTTATACTCGGTCTTAGGCGCCACTAACAGCGATAGCGGCCTATAAATCTACCTCCTTCTTAACCCTAAGCCTCACTACGGCCGCTGATTATATGATTATGTGACTATAACTACTGATTATTCACTTATTATTGACTATGATTATGATTATGGCCGCTGACTACTGAGTACTCAGTAATCAACTTCTATGCAGCCATTGTGATCTGCGACCACGTGGCCAACGCAAAGTCATTGAGTGGACCGACGATGTGAACGGCAGAATCGAAATCTCTCGGCCAGGTATCGTGCCCTGCACTCCGACCTACAACGAATTCTGAGGCGGCTGATGCAGTTTGGGACCGCTCCACCGAAACAGACTCGTCGAGCGGAGCGAGGATTTGAACGACAGAACTGAGATTATTCTTTAGCTCTGCGCTCCGATTTGGAGTGGCTGCTGAGCTAGCCGGTGGATTCTGCGACCACTTAACGGCAGCAGACTCATCGAGTGGAGCGATCATTTGAGTTGCAGAATCGAGAGTTTCTTCCGAAGCTCCACGCTCCGGTCCATAGCAACTGCTGACGCATCCAATGAAGTTTAGGACCACTCAGCGAAGGCAGGATTATAGAGTAGAGCGAGGATTGAAAGGGGAATCGAGACATCTCAATCTGGTATTTTGAGCCTTCGGCTCGCAGTAGTAGTAGCACTTGTTATAGCGATCGATGGATTTACGACCGCTCTCCCGGAACAGGCTCACTGAGTCGCAGCGAGTGTTGAATTGGTAGACACTTTGGTCGGACTTATTGCGCTCCTGGTTATAGCATATGTCATAGCAGCCGGTAGACTTGGTGACTGCTCTTCAGAGAGACTCTGTATGGAGTCGAGCGTTGGATTCAGAGTTGCGATTGGAAAGTCTAGGCCTGCTATGTTGGGCCCGGCGCTCTCAGCTGTAGCAATCGCGAGAACTTTGCGACTGCTCTGCTGAGGTTTGCCATGGAGACCATTTTTCAGTCTAGCAGCATTTTCAGTCACGTCGACCTGGTTATGGTTTCTTTTTGAGTACTGAGCTCGTCGCTGTATCCTAGTCACTTTGACGGTTGAGGTTTCGTGATATGGTCCAAATCTCGCCCCAAGTGGTTGCCGTTCGCAGGGTCCTCAAATGATGGGCACATGAGCAGGAGATATCGATGCCCACATCTTCAGAAGCTTCACAGGATCCTCAGTGCCTGAAATGTGGAACTGGCCACACCTCTTCAACGCCTCATCCTTCGATGTTTCGAGCACGAGCCCGCGCATCTCCAATGTCGACTGCTGTTCCAGCAGTTCTTGGGATGTATTCAAAGTTTCTTCAGCCGTCAAATGAGGCAATTGCCATTTACTGTTGTCGCACCATACGAGAGGAAGCAGGTAGAATGTGGAGCCACTGGGCGATCCCAGTAGAATGTCATCGTCAAAGCTGGAGCCGTGAAATCCAACTCCAAGAGCATTATTCATTTGTATTTCAATAGAGCCAACCTCGAGATTGAGGTCCTCTTGCAGGACTCGCTTGGCATTTCTGAGCCTAGATGGATGTCTTCGAATGCGTCCCTCAAGCATACGGCCGCTCAGTGTGATGGACGCATCTTTCAGGCGGCCGTAATCATTTCCGAGGTGGTGCGGATAGACTGCTGACGACACGTACTCTGCAAGCGCTTCCTCGAGACCACCAGAAAACCCGACACGGCCGTCCATACAAGCCCAGCTCCAGGACGGTGCACGCCATCTTTTGTCGCGTGAACTCCCAGGCTCCCGGTACCAGCATAATTGTTGGGGCAGTCGACTTTTGAAGAGGCCTGCAATGTACTGCTCATCGAGAAGCTCTGTCATACGCTCAGCAACACCACTGAGAGCGGCAAATTTGTCTTCGAGGGGGTACGAAAGTTCAAGCCGAGAATATGCCATGACAACATTCTCCCAAACTCCGGCATTATATTTCGAAATTTGGACATCATTCCGGTCTAGATTAAATGGAAACTCTGGATTGGCCCGCTCTTGGATGTTGAATGGCAGCCTGTCGCTGGCCAAAGGCACGTCTGAACATTCCCAGTACAATTGTTCACCAGCGAAGTGGAGCATCCTTGGTGCCAGGAGACGTTCCTGAAAAACCCAACCTCGCGTGAAGAGTTTGTTTTTGCGGTAAAACATATCTTTGTCGATCACATAGTCGAAAGAATCAACCTGGAAGACCTGAGGTCGAGCGAGTCCAGGCCGGGTCAGGGTGATCCTGTCTGGACATACAATGCTACCATTATGATCTGTGAAGCAACCGATGCTTGGCGCAGATGCACTCGTTGCACCAATATTGAGTGCGCTGTTGGCACAAACCAATTTCATCATAGTCAACTCTTTTGCTTTGTCCGAAGTAAAAGAGGCATTCATGCCAGCTTGCATAATGCAGTAGCAATCGATCCAAAAATATCGGAACCCCAATGTCCTTGCAGCTTCAATAGCCTCAGCGTGGCTCTTGGGAAATTCCGACAAGGCTCGACCGATTGACACGAAAGTATCATGATTCTCCGAGTTCATTACCGGTATGGTTTCACCTCCCCAACAATGGCTGAGCGTCGCGTATCGTCCATTCAATGTTTTTCCTGTCGTCTCGATCAATCGTATTCGGCTTTGAGACAGATCCAATAATCGGGTGGGATACCATTGCGGATCTGAGCCTGCTCCGCACTTCGCATGTGTCTTCATACATTCACCCAACCAATATTGGGCAACAGAGAGCGTTGCCTGGCTGCCTGTCGAAGGACTACACAAGGCTGACGCACTCAGCGTGGCGATCTCCTCGCCGAGCTCGTGTACCTGTACTGAACCGCAAACGTCCCCGCGTTCATGGCTCCTGTCTGGCGCACTCAGAATCCTGATGTAGTGAGATGTGCTCGAATAAGAACCGAAGTTCGTGCTGCCGGCGAAGGGGTTCCTCCCGAGCAACGTGGAGCGCGTGACACTCGCGCAAACGAAGCATCCCAGCGCCGTGGAGTCTGCCAGGCTTTGTCGGCTTTCATGATAATACGGATATTCTACCTGCCCGAGGTCATTTCGATCTCGAGGTTCCGGTGAAATGAGACACTTGCAGACGAATTCGTGGCAGGGTTGACATAGCATGACGTGTATAGTGCCAGATGTAGTCGCTTTTCAAGTTCCACGGAGACCTGGAAGAGACCACGCGAATGCCGCAGGCAAGGAATACCAGATGCCGATTATGAAACCAGCATAGTCATGATATCCTCGAAGTGCTGAGTGATACACTGCCCGTATTGAGGCCTCCTCGTGTCGCCGGACACATCCAACGACATTCATGCCAAGCAAAGAGAGCCGAACACAGCCCAGTAGCTCAGCCTTGCGGTTGCAAGTGCGCAGCTCCTACCGGTGAAGCGATACGAGACTCTCGGGCTTCTGACACACACCTGATTTCTGCAGACCAGCGGCTCCCGACTCCTGCAGAAAGCTTTCGGCAGACTTGTAAATCGCATTGGTGTTACGTTTCCGATGCGTTCGTTGAAGAGCGGTCCGTATGAAGTCAGGGCTGTGATCATGACCGTTCGTGACGAGAACCGCTTCTGAAGGTTCAGCTCTGCGGGTGGCACCGAGGTGGACTGATGGAAACTTCCTTTGGAACCGCAGAATGCAACTATACTGTAGCAGAGAGTGGCATAGGGCCTGTGGTCGTCGAAATCATTATACATGAACTATAAAACTGCATGGGTATCACACCGTATTCATAATCATTACAATCTGCTTAGAGCCTTTCGTCAATCAAACCGGGTATCCCAAACTTGCGCAAATCATGATGCTGCTCAATTACATGTTCTCAATGACTCGGGCATTCTGAGAGGCCCCAAATCCAGGGATGTTGCTGCCCATCTGGAAGTTCTCGTTCGTAGTGCCGTAGTCCTGGTACTTGCTTGGTCCCTCACCAACAGAATCAGCGGCAGCGAGCTGTGCCTGCATGCTCTGGTTCGGCGCTGGCAGGAAGATGACCTTGCTGTTCGCGCTCTTGGCCATTGCCTGCATAGCCTCAAGGTATCTGATCTGCATGGCTGGTGCGCTAGACAGGATATCGGCGGCTTGACGCATCAACTTGGCGCTCTCAACCTCGGCGCGTGCGCTGATGACCTTGGCCTCACCAGTACGCTTGCTCTGGGCGGCCATCGACAAGCTGTCCTGAAGTTCTTGGCTGAAGATGATGTCCTTGATAAGCATACTCTCCACCTCAGCACCCCAGCCAGTGGCGGTCTCGTCGATGATCTCTCGAATAGACTGCGCGATCTCTTCGCGGCGCTCGATGACATCCTGCAGAACGCGAGCACCAATAACGTGTCGAAGAGTGGTCTGGGTACGCTCAACGAGAGCGGTGCGGAGATTGGAGATGCCGAATGCAGCCTTGTGTGGGCTCGTGATGCGGTAGTAGATGACAGATGTGAGGGTCAAGTTGACGTTGTCCTTGGTCATGCAGACTTGCTTTGGCACTTCTACGATCTGGATCTTGACGTCGACCTGAATGAGGTTCTCGGAGAGAGGGTTGATCTTGACGAGACCTGGGTCTACGGCTCTTGCGAATCGTCCGAACTTCGTGACGAGACCGACGTTTCCTTGCGCGACCGGCTTATATGGGTTCGGGCAGACGATGCAGCATGGAATGGCTCCGAGAGTGCCGATGCAGGAACCAAGCGCGTTCACCATAGAACCATACCATCCGTGCTGCGACGCATCTTCCGTATCTGGCTTGATGACCTATTATCGCAGTCGTTAGCGCTTCGTGTTTGCTTCGACTCTCTGAAGTGGCGACGGGGGCATAAGGCGCAAATTGAGCGGAGGTGCATAGACACCACATGACCTGCAGAAACGACATATTGCTAGCCACGATATGATGGCGTGCTTCCAACTATGCTTTTCTCGCGCGCCATCGTGGCCATCAAGGAATATCCCGGATTCACGTACCTGTGCATAGCTTGGCTGCAAGTCCTCTCTGCGTGGCGGCTGGACCTTGACAAGAGGATCAACACCTCCGTGTCGCGAATGATTGCTACCGCTGTCGAGTGGTGCCTTGCCATTGACATCCGCGCTGCTGCCGTTCATGATGTTGTTGATGGAATGTAGATGTTGTTGATGTCGATGCCGAAAATGCGGGGAAGAAGAGATTCTATATTCTAGCTCCGGGCCGGGGTCTGGTATCACTCGACGCTCGTGAACAGGAAGTCGAAGTCTCGGGATGCAGTAGTTCTGTGAGAGCTCGGAGGCGACAGCGACACACGCGCGAGATATATAGCACGTCAGGACACGAATGCGAAAGCAGCAGCTGCTTTGCATCGCCGCTTCCATGGCTTGAAGCTATTCCTCTTTCGTAACGCAGCTCGAGAGCTAAGCTTTCCCACAGCGGAGACGATTTGAAGCTAAAATGCGACAGTGGAGTAGGGAGGATTGGCCGTGGATACTCATTGGTTCGGGATACCATACACCAAGCGCTCAGGACAACTTGGCGGACGAGGAATGATGGAATGAATACTTGTCCCGGCAAGACGTCTCCGGGACAACCACAGAATACTGCAGCAGACCGGAATGATGATTGGAACCTTTCTCATACAATGGAGCTTCTTGCTGATTACTGGGCCATTCGAGGATGTGGAACTCTCTCAATCGAACTTCTGCTGATTGCTTGATGGTGTCTGATCGCGCGCTACTGGTGAGCACTCATACCGGATAGGCTCTGGCTTGGAGATCAGCCTCATCAGCAAGAGAGCCATGCGAAAAAACGGCAAGCTCGGCACAAGATCTTCCAAGGAAGACATGTAACGATTTGTTCTACGCGTCTTCGAGATCAGCGTTGTGGCCGCGGAAAGCGGTGCAGGTCAGGTGTGGTGTAGAACCTTCGTATTGCACTGCCTCACGACCCACTGTCCAATTCCTGTGAGGCGTCACATGAGGCACTTGGAGCGGCACCCCCTTGCCACTGACATAAGGGACTCTATTCCTGGCTATCTAGAGCACAGTACTGTACGTACTGAGGCATTAAATGCCCAGCCTAGCCTTGTAGGCCACTTGGTGTTGCATGCTATCTACGCATTCGCGTGAAGTGCCGAGTGTAGTTTATGAGGAGAGGAGATCTGCTGCGCTGTGGCACATTGGTGGATGACATGCCACTGACTTACTCGCAAGCTCTCCTCTTTGCACTCTAGCTCCGGCAAGGGGGGTGGGCAGCCCTTGTTTGTGCGACTTTCGCAGAGGCAGGCGGGCAGAGCACACTCGGTCCATAATCTCGCGTGTGAGGTGCCAATTCTCCGAAGGATGGGAGCACCCTTTTCCTAAATTAAGGCTGACTGTCAACTCTCAGCGTTACGCCACGCAGCCTTGAAATGGCGGCCGCCAACTCGAAGCGCCGAATTGCAACTAGTTCACCTCCAACCAGTGATGTTGGAAGGCCAGTCTCAGTCCCAATATATCTGTTGAGGCGCTCGCAAATGTCAGCTAGGCTGAGCGCGTGCTCCTTCGTTGCTGCTGCAATGTGCGGAAGAAGGGTAGCAATTGTCCTTGATTGCCCAATCTCGACGATCTGATCTAGTCCCCCAAGATCAATGCCACTCTCCGCACGAGATGGATCATCGACTGCGTCTCTCTGCTGTGAGCTCATGCTGATGAACTTCTTGCGCGAGGCAAATGGCGACCTCAGGCCTTCTAGATCTATTCTGAGAGCACGCTTTGGAATGGAGCCATAATGCTCGTCCTGTGTGACCATGAGTGAATGTTGAGCCATGAGGTCTTGTACTTCTTGGTTGATACAGTGCGGTCTGTAGGAGTCCATCGCGATGACATTGTCTGCAATGCTCAGCCAGTCTCCGAGGCCTCCGATAACTATGACAGTCGACACGCCATGTTGCTGCCACAATGCTCTCGCTTTGCTGATCAGAGGCGTGATGGGCTCGTTGCGAATCAACGCCTCCATGCGCCAATCTCGTACCAGTAGATTCGTTGCCGAGGAGTCCTCGTCGATCAAAATCGTCTTGCAGCCTACTTCCAGAGCTTCCTGTATATTTGTTGCCATTGATGTTGACCCGGAAGCATCTTCGGTCGTAAAGGCATTCGTGGGCTTTGCACCTGGTAGCTGGGAAATGTACGGGCTGATGTCGGTTTTCGAGACACACCTGCCGTCTTCCGCTCTGATCTTGACAGCTGTCTCGTCGCTGACCGCTGCTTCCCGCCCGTCACCTGGAACGTGGTTGTAGATGCCTAGCTCTAGTGCTTCGAGAAGGGTAGATTTGCCATGAAAACCACCTCCAGTCAGCACAGTCACACCTTTCGGAATTCCCATGCCTGTGTAAGCGTTGAGATGGGCTGAAGTCAACGTGACTTCGAGCTCCTTCGGTGATTGAAACTTGACCACATCTGGGCTGTTCATGGGTGTCTGCGAAGCACCGGATGCTCGAGGAAGCACAGAGCCATTGGCGACGAAAGCGACCAGGCCTCGCTGGTCGAGCTGCTGACGGAGTGAATGCTGCTGTTCAGCGGACGATATATGGCGCTCAAGCGTTCGCTCGTCGAGGCTGGCAAGGAAGAGGGATCGTCCCACAACATCAACGAGATTGACTCCCAAGATCTGCCATGCTTGCTGCCCAAGAATAGTCCTCCCTGCCGCTGGAAGCGAGACTGTAAAGCGGAGCTCAATGCTATCATTGCCAGATATCATAGCCGATGTCCTCGGCAGAATCTCCTGACCAGGCTGATTGATGGAGAATGCACCGCCTTTGGGACCGCCCCAACCGCCATTTGCGCTGCCAACCTTGCGGTGAAGGTGGTTCGACGAGATAATTGATGCAGCAACGCGAGTGACATAGTCGCATAAGGCAATCCGACGTATGTCATGCCTCAAGCAGTCGTCTGGAAAGCCCGTGTGTGACCACTTGACAATGGCTCGTACTCGAGATGGCGCTGCATACGCATCTCCTTGGATGTGATCGATGACCAGAGTGAAATGAGGACGATCCTCATGTTGATATGTGCCGAGCAGTCGTTTATATGCCCCTGGGTTTGTGTCAGGATGCTAAGACTCCGGACCTCACGTATATCGCCGATAAGGAAGAGGACCAAGGAAAGCACCAAAGCTTGTTGGAGCAGGATGCTCCGAGTCGGAGGCCGATGCTAGTTGCACCAGTCCGGGCAGGCGGAAGAGGAATGAAAGTATGGAGCGTGCACTTACCATATTGCTGAGAATCGATGGCTACAAGATCACGCTCAAGCTGTTGCCAGCTCTTTAGGTGGCCGCTGGTTGCATTGGCCTGATCTTGCGATGACCGATAGGCTGTTTCATTGAAGGCGTGGCTATCGCCGGCAGCCCCTCGACCTCTACCGCCATAGCGGGCCTTGTAGTAGGCACCACGGGCGGCGCGGGCTCCTCGTCCTGCCCACAGCCAGAGCGGTCAGCGTCGCATCACCGCAGAGGGACACGTGCATCGCCAGTCTTACCACTCATGCTTGTGGAAGACAGCGGATGGCGACGGCGCTGGCGATGGCGATGGCGATGGCGATGGGCGAATGTCTGCTGGGGCAGGTCGGTGAAAGTCGGTGGTCTCTTTAGCTCGGCGCTAGTGGGCAGATTCGTTCTGCGACCCCGGTGTCACTCATCAGATACACTGAAGGCCATGCACGAGCGATCGCGTGGTGTCTGCAAGAGCCAAGAGGGTACTGGCACTGGAAAGGCTAAACTGATTCGTTGGTGGCATGATCCAATCAGCATCGGTGCAATACAACCACGGCCACGGCGCTGGTTTTGGCGGCCATCCCTCCTTCTCGAACCCTTCCACGCAGCAAGGCGGCAGCAACCAGGCACCTGCGTTTTCTGGTCATGGCATCACCGTTGGTGCGATGCAGCAGATGCGTAAGTAGTCCACCCGTCCCAGTCCTGCCTGCCTCAGCATCAGCATTAGCCCGACGTACCTGCTGTCACCTGCCACCCGCCACCTGCCACCTGGAGGTCGTCGGTCGCTGCTGCTTTCGCTGGCGGCGCGTTTTACTTTCAGAACCGACAGCCAGCCTGAGCCACGGCCAGCCTGCCAACCTGCCAGCCTCACCGCATGGCGGCATGGCGACGATGACGCGGGCGACATGCGGCCTGCCAAGCCGAAACATCGACCAAGCGCGGCTGACACGAAAACACAGAAGGCTATGCTAGTGCTAGTTCGAGCAGCCAACCATCCTTCCACCAGCACCACCACCAGCAGCCATCATATACTTCTGCCCCGTACGCCCACTCCGTACCTGCACAAGCGCCACCACCCGTGAGACAGAGCGCTTCTCCGCAGCAGCAGCAGCGCCTATCACCACATGCTGCCGCTAGCCCTGCCCACCCGCCAGAGCACCAGACACCTCCCATCAAGTATCCCATGGCCGCGCCGCCACTGCCTCAAACGCCCGTCAACAAGTCCCAAGCAGACAATGGCAACGCCGCGTCTCCGCCCAAGGGACCGCAGTCGCCCGCCTCACAGAGTCGAGAGGAGCAGCGCATAAACCTTCTTTTCGAGATCAACGTCGAGCTGCTGCAAGAGGTCAACAGGCTACAGGCTGAGGGCAAAGGCGGCGCTATCAGTCCGCAGCAAGTCGCCCAGCTCAAAGCGCAAGGACAGCCGGCCGTACAAGCCTCGGAAGAGTACATCCAATGCTTGCGGAGGGTGCAAGCAAATCTCGCATATCTGATGCCCAAAGCACAGCCAGAGCAAGCAAATCCAGCAAAAGCATCTCAAGGACCCGCGCACATGACACCGCCACCCCACATGCCTCAGCTGCAGGAGAAGTATGATCGACTCAAAGTCTTATTCGATGGATGGCCGGGATTAGACGCCAGGATGGCTGCTTCATCTGCATCGCCCAAGCCGCAACAAACAGGTCCCAACTAGGCAAACGGAGACCAGGATCGTCGATATTCATGCCTGCTCTGCAAAGGCATTCGTTCGATCTGCAATGGCCATTCCCTTCCTGTGAAGCACTCATGATCAATGTCTCCATATGGTGCTCCTACCCTTCCTCGGTCTACGTCTACTGTGGGATTTGCTTCACCGAGAGGTTCGACGTCAGACCTAAATATGATTAAAGTGGTCTCCTTCACATGCCGAAGCGGCTGCAATGCGGCAATTGCGACAGAATGCTGATCCACTATCCCGTTGATTCGAGGCCACATTATGAGGGATTCGATCGAAAGGATAGCGCTACCACTTCCCGTGGACGTCGATCGACTAGGGCTTGAGACGCGGGACAGTACCTGAGATGTAGGATGGAGATCGACTACGCAGAAGTTGCGTCAAGTAGGTCAGGTAGAATGGCCGGGATGGGAGAGTGACGAAGTATTGTTCCACATTTGGCTCACAATCAGAACAACGTGCGGTCTCAAAAAATTTGCACTAGAAGAATTGGTGTGCTCATAGCGTTCTGCGCTGCAGAGGAGTCTCAATTACTTTGCTCCGACCACATGGGAAGAGACAGCCTTCACACCTACGAGATCACAATTTAGCCAGACACATCATAGAATGCAAAAGTAAACTCATCTCACAAGACGAAAATCAGTCCGCGTGAACGTCTTCGTTCCCACCAGCTGGGACTGTATTATATACACAAGAGCGAGCTCGGCTCTCACACACGCACACCACATCCACCCTCACAACCTCTTCATCTCATGCCCATCACCCCTGCGCCCTCGTCGTCTTCTCATAAAACTCCAGCGTACAAGCCGCAAGAAAACAGACAATCTCCTTCCGTCCCTCCACCCAAAACTCCACCAGCGAAGAAATCTCTCCAGCAAACTGACTCCTCTCCCCACCACTGACCTTCATAGTCCCCTGCTCGCCATCAAAGATGATAGAATTCTCCACCTTCTCCCCATCCACAAAACTTTCCGGGTACAAAATGCTCGTCACCTTGACCTTCCCATTCGGCATGAAATCCACCTTCCAACCGAGCAATGAAGCGATAGTTTCCGTGAATTCCGCTCCTTTGGACCGGTAGAGTTGCGTCAGACGTAACTTTTTCTTTTCCGAGAGTTTGAGTTGGTCTTTCAAGTCTGAGATTTGGAGGTTTGCGGATTCGAGGGTGGAGAGGGGCACTGTTTTCGCATTGTGCGGTTTGGACGTGAGTTGGGAGAGTAAGGCTGCGTTTTCTTCGCGGAGCGTTTGGAGGGTGGTTAGTTTGATTGCTTCGATTTTTGATGTTGGGTTGTCGCGGAATTCGAGGACGCGGGTACGTGAGGTGTCTTTCAAGGATTTGATTTGGGCGACGCTGGCTTTGAGTTCGGCTTCGAGGAGTTGGTTTTGTTTTTGTAGTTTTTCGAGGTCGTCTTGGAGAGTTCGTGTCTTACGCTTGAGCTCGCCGAGGCGTTCATTTTCAGCATCGTTCTCTTCCCTGGCTCGCTTTCGTGGTGTCTGTAGCGTGGCTGGTGGCCGTGTCTCTAGCTTGCTGATATCGGCTTGCAATGTCTGTACCTCAGCACGGTATTGATCTGCCAACTTTTCAAGCTCTTGTATGCGATTCGAGTGCGCTTCATCGACTTGCTCGGGCGTGAACTCTGCTTCTTCGGCCTCAAACGTCTTCATCTGCGCTCGAAGATATTCCACTTCTTTCGTAAGGAGATTCTTCTGGCGCTCTAGACGCGCTCGTGCCTTTGCATCTCCAGCAGGCGCAGCCGCCACATTCTTAGCCGCATTACTTCGCGCTTCTTCCAATTCTGCTTGCAGACGCGCCTTATCTGCTTCGACACTCTGCAAATTCTGCTCCAGGACCTTCAGCTCTGGCTGAATTGCGCCAAGTTTGTCCATCAAGTTCATTCGCTCGATTCTTTCTTGCAGGAGTGCTTTTGCCATCTGCTCGGGAGTATCGTAGCGCATGTCCTCCTCGTTCGCAGCATTCGCCTCCAAGTAAGCTGTCCAGCTTCTCTTCTCGTCTTCCAGTATCTGCTTCTGCAATTGAGATTCTGCAAGCTCCTTACGCAGATCCTCTAACATGTGAAGCTTCGCCTCTAAAGCGCGCTTCTCCTCTTCCACGATCTCAACGCTCTTTTGTGCGCTACGTGTCTGCTTCAGCTCTGCGAGCTGCTCACGATTGGTCGCCTCCAGCTTTCTGATATACGTCACCTGCTCCGTGAGCTCCTTCTTGATCACAGCAAGAGTGTCCGAGTCTCCAGTCTGAGCTTTCAGCCGTAGAACCTCATTCTCGAGCTCCCCAACTTCTGCTTCTTTCCGCGCCAGCTTCTGCTGAGTGGTCTGTAGGCTCGCGACTCTACCGTTGAGATCCTGCTGACAGTCTTCAAAAGAAGTCTGTAACGCCACGTACTTTTGTTCCAGCTCACTAAACGCATGTTGATTCTGTCGTCCAACCGATTCTAAATCTGCCTTTGCCTCTTCGAGGTCGTCCCGCAATGATCGATTGTCGTCTTGTAACGATCTGACTCTTTTCTCCAGCTGCAATTTCTCGTTCGCCGCGCGATCTTGAGTCTCCTGCCAATCACGGGATAAAGCTTCTGCTTTCTTGATTGCGGTAGTGCTTGCGCTTTCAGCAGCTTGCGCCCGCTTGTAGTCGGACTCTGCTCGGTTTTGAACTTCGCGTAGTTCTTGCTGGTGTCGCAGCTCATTCAGTTCGCGTTCCTGCTTCAAAGAGTCCAGTTCGTATTGCACGGTGCGCAGTTGTGCTCGGAGATCTTCATTGTTGATATCTGCTCGCGATACGGTCGACTGCTTCATCGTCTCGCGCAATGGCTGCCTTCGTGGCGGCGAGGGTTCTGCGCCGGCCAGAAAGTCGAATGTAGGCTGATTGCGCGCCATGGCGCTGGCCGCTGGGTGTGAAGTCGGTTCAGTTGCTATGAAGGTGTTGTGGAAGAAGCCAGTAACGTAAACAAAGAAAGTGGACGTGTTGATCCATCCCGCCCGCCTAGCGGCTTGAACTTCACTTCACGCACTCGGTCTCGCGCACGTTTTCCTGTTATTCCAAACTATGCTCGACAATGCCACGAATGGGAAGTGACGAAAGTGTCAGAGCAAGGACGAAAAAGACCAGGATTCTGTTACTACACCCTCCAGCGCAAGTCGATTCTCAGTCCGGGAATAATGGGAATTGATCAACGGTATCATCTAAACATCTTCATGCGTTTTACCGTGGGCTAGATACAGCTCATCTATCTGACTTTGTTCATCATGTCTCCCAATGAGAACCATCTCATCATTTCATCCTCATCCTGGGTAGTGCTATCGACGTGGCCCGCTTCGGGCTAGATATGCTATCATGCTGCGGCCCACAGCCGTTTATCGATGCACCCGAACTTGATACGCTTAAGCATTGTAGGTAGAAGCAGAAACATTGCCACCGCGGCCGGTCCAGTTGACGTGAATGTCCTTGCCCTCTGGGTACTTGTCGCTGGCGAACTCTGGCTTGATGCGGAAAGTGTGCGCACCAAAGTAGTCACGCTGAGCCTGGAGCAGGTTGGCTGGAAGATCCTTGGTTCGGAAGCCGTCGAAGAAGGAGAGAGCAGTGGAGAAAGCTGGTGTTGGGATACCCCAGAGAGCGCCCTTGGAGACAACATCTCTCCAGCCCGGCTGGGCGTTGTGGATGGCCTTGTTGAAGAAGTCGTCGAAGAGCAGGTTCTCGAGATCTGGGTTGCTGCGGTATGCCTTGGTGATGTCCTTCAAGAAGACGGAGCGGATGATGCAGCCACCACGCCACATGAGCGCGATCTCTGGCTTCTGGAGCTTCCAGCCGTATTCCTTGGCGGCCTATGGACAGTGTTAGTGACGGACAGAAATTGAAGTTGTCTCAGATGAACTCACACTCTGCATAAGCATGAAGCCTTGTGCGTAAGAAATGATCTTAGAGGCGTAGAGGGCCTGCTCAAGGTTCTTGAGGAACTGCTTCTTGTCGCCCTCGAACTTGGGTGTTGGACCGGAGAGCTTCTGGCTCGCGCGGGTACGCTCGCCCTTGAGCGAGGACAAACATCTCGAGAAGACAGCCTCACCAATGAGTGTCACTGGCTGGCCCATGTCAAGAGCGTTGATGGCAGTCCACTTGCCGGTTCCCTTCTGGCCTGCGGCATCAAGGATCTTCTCAACAAGGGTGGTTCCGTCTTCATCGTTGAAGTAGAGGATATCACGGGTGATTTCGATGAGGAACGAGTCGAGCACGCCCTTGTTCCACTCTGCGAAGACATCGGCCATTTCCTTGCCAGAAAGACCAAGACCACGCTTCATGATGTCGTAGGCCTGTAAAGTATCAGCTCGCCTGCTCACAATTGTTCTGCGATTTTTGAAAGCCCACCTCGCAAATCAGCTGCATGTCTCCGTACTCAATACCGTTATGCACCATCTTAACGTAGTGTCCAGCACCCTCGTCACCGACCCATTGACAGCATGGCTCGCCGTCCGACTTGGCGGAGATAGACTGGAGGACGTCCTTAATGTATGGCCATGCCTCCTCGTTACCACCGGGCATGATGGATGGACCGTAGCGGGCACCCTCCTCACCACCGGAAACACCAGAACCGACGAAGCGAATGCCCTTGGAGGCGAGGTACTTCGTGCGGCGGTTGGTGTCTGGGAAATGCGAGTTACCACCGTCAATGATAATGTCGCCTGGCTCAACACCACCCTCAGTCAAGAGGGTCTCAATGAAGTCGTCGACTGGCTTTCCGGCCATGACGAGCAACATCATGCGTCGTGGCTTCTTGAGCTTCGCGACGAACTCCTTGATGCTGTGTGCGCCCACGATGCTCTTGCCCTTGGCCTCATTGTCCAAAAAGCGGTCGACTTTGGAGACGGTACGGTTGAAGGCGACGACGGTGAATCCGTGGTCGGCGGCGTTAAGGATCAGGTTCTGGCCCATGACGGCCAAACCGATGAGACCGAAGTCTCCGCTGTGAAAAAGCATTGTCAGCCGGGAGCTCTGCCATGGCGGGAAATGGTGCTGTGTTTCTGGAGGAGTCATTCGACAAGAGTGTCTGCATAGGTCGAGCTGTGCCATCTCTTGAAGCAGAGAAGGCAATGCATATACTCTCAGCTGATTTTGCCTTTTCTCGCATTCCAACACATTTCTTGTTGCAAGGCTCTGGCGTTGCGAATAATTCTTCCGGCCAGCGAAACGTTGGTGGAGGGACAATGTGACGATTGACGATGGGGCGGGAGAATACATACACTGCCTCTGGTGCGGACATGGTGGTGGGATGGTGTTGCTTGAAGTGGTTGGAGATGCTGTTCACGCGCTGCTGCGGTGTAGAAGAGGAATTCGGAGAGAGTTTGAGTTGCGTTGGGCTTTGCGGTGACATAGGTCTCATGGCAGTGGGGCTAAAGGCGCAACTGCGGGAGGCTCGAGAGGTCCGAACTGCGATTGCCAAACTCTTCGTCAGCAAGGAACTGCTCATGCACGCCCACGCCCACGCAAACACACACGCTCTTCGCCAGATGCCGCTCGATAGACGTCCGAGATCAAGACAAGGTACATACATAGCTAGTAGTGGCCGCCCGACGAGACGCCTTTTCCCTCTCACAGCTCCGCACTCGTCTTGGACTGACTATCGGGAACCGGTCAACAGCCACACTCCGGCCTCCTCCCCCTCCCACTCTGCCATCTACGCCCGTCAATGGCCGTGTTCGTGCTCGCTCGGCTTTCACTCGGCAATGGAGACAAATCAAACGTTGCGTCAGGCCGCTCAGGCAGACAGGCATTCTGCATCATAGAGGAGCAATCTCATCTTACGATATCACAGCTGCGAGTAGAAACAGGAAGACCCAGCAAACCGAGCCTCCCGCTGGGCAATGATAACAATGCCAGCGTAGCGAAGTCTTGCTTCTAGCTTGGAGCTGTCAAATTTTTGGAAAGCCGGCTACTGCTCCCAACAAACTTCTCGCGCGGAGGCATCCCAGTCAGTCTGTGCGCTCATGGAACTAGGAAGCCGACAGCAGTTTGCCGATGCCCTGCACCCTCCTTTCGAACATATTCTTTACCGTATTTGTCTGTCTCCTGCTTTCGACAAAGTAGTCGAAGGCGTAGAGCAATCTGAGCCCAAGACGGAGCAGCTCGACCCTAGAACATACTGCAAATGAAGTCATGCCGTGCAACAAATGTCAGCAGAACCATATTGAAACACCGCTTTGTGATGAATGGAAGAACGACAGTCATAAACATCAAATCCCCATATCATTCCTATCGAGCGCGAACTTGATGCTTTCCGTCATCACGCCCGAAAGATGTTGGTTGAGCACATCTCCGAACGCCGACGCTAAATGCCAGATTCCACAACCAAATGCGACCAGACGTCGATAGCAGTCTGCCTGCCCGTGGTCTATGTTGAATACAAAACTCGTTTTTCCATGCCGCGAGCAGGGCCTTTACTGGGTATCATTGCGCTCCCCGAAACTTTTCGAGACTCTAGTGTAACATCTCCCCATCCATTCATTCATCCTCCCCGGAATGCCGTGTAAACGCCGATTGTCATCAGACCAGAGGTGGAGCTCTGACCTGGCTAATGCTGGCCCGTGCCGTGAGGCAGGGCTGATTAATTATGTTGTTGAAAAGGACTGACGGCTCAAGGGGTACCTAGTACTTGAGCGTCTTTGGCTTCTCCCAGGTGAAGTCCTGATTGGTGAAGTGGCCGTTCATGGCGGTCTTGCGGTAGACTGGCTTGGCAAGGTCGAGCTCCTTGACGATGACGCCTGGTCTCATGTTGAAGTTGTTGCGAATAATCTCCACGAGTTCCTCGGAGCTCTTGTCGGATGTGCCGTATGTGTCAACGAAGATCGAGAGTGGCTCGGCAACACCGATGGCATAGGAGAACTGCACGAGCGCTCGGCGGGCAAGCTTGGAGTGGACGAGAGATTTGGCGACCCATCGTGCGAGGTATGCGGCAGAGCGGTCGACCTTGCTGTAGTCCTTTCCGGAGAAAGCACCGCCACCGTGTGCACCCCAACCACCGTAGGTGTCGACAATAATCTTACGTCCAGTGAGACCTGCATCTCCCTGAGGACCACCGATGATGAAGAGACCAGATGGTTGAATCTAATTGTATCAGCATTCTGCACCAGTATTCAGAAACGCTTTACTCACGTGGTAGACGGTCTTGTCGTCGAGCAGGTTGGCTGGGATGACCTTCTTGATGATCTTCTCGAGGATCTCCTTTCGCAGCTGCTCAGTGGTGATGTCTGGGCTGTGCTGGGCTGAGACGACGACAGTGTCTACTCTCTTTGGCACGACAGCACCGTTGTCGTGCTCGTACTCGACGGTGACTTGAGTCTTGGTGTCTGGTCGGAGCCATGCAAGGGAGCCATCCTTGGCGGCAGCGTCAAGGGCCGCGTTGAGCTTGTGTGCGAGGAGAATGGTCAATGGCAGCATCTCAGGTGTCTCATCGGTGGCATAGCCGAACATGATACCCTGGTCACCAGCACCGAGGTTCTCGAGGCGCTCCTCATAGTGGAGACCTTGTGCAATATCTGGGCTCTGCTCCTCAATGGCGACGAGGACGTTGCAAGTCTTGTAGTCGAATCCCTTCTCTGAGCTGTCATATCCAATGTCCTTGATCGCCTCACGGATGACCTTCTGGTAGTCTACACGGGTCTTGGTGGTAATCTCACCAAAGATCATGATCATACCAGTCTTTGTAGCAGTCTCGCAGGCAACCTTGGAGGCTGGATCCTCGGCCAAGCAGGCATCGAGAACAGCATCGGAGACCTGGTCGGCAATCTTGTCTGGGTGGCCACGACCGACGGATTCAGAGGTGAAGAGGAAGGTGCCCTTACTGTACGGGGAAAAAATCCGGTTAGCGAGCTCTGGGTCATGCCACGATTGCTGGTTCAATGGCACACTTACGAGCCCTGGTGAGGCTTGTGGTCTCCGTTGACTTGGGTCATGGTGACGGTAGTAGAGCGTGTGTTGTGCGAGGCTCGTGGAGGATTTTGACGAGCGATTGAGCAGTGTCGAGTGGGTGTTTCTTGGTTGAGAGCAGGAACGGCTTTGAAAAGTGAGGAACTCGCCCGCTCACAGATCACAGACTTGCCGGACCCCACTAAACTCGAGCACGGATCACGATTGTTCCTTGTATCATCTCCAAGGCGTTACGCCGGAATGTGTGGCTATTGTTCTCAAATGTCATGGCACTACGACTACACAAAGAGGTGCAATCGCGTTCCCTTCCGTCAGCGACTCGGCAAAGCAATGAGCATTCTAATAAGTACAGCGCCATAATGTATTCTGCTGCTGGTAGCCTCAGGCACACACCGTGCAAAAATCTGAGTACGACTGTACGACAGAGCAAGGAACCCTCCCCCCTTCATCCGAAGTCGCACTTCCTTTCAGATCACGTCAGTTCTGGCTTCGCTTCGTTCGTTTCATCGGTCCCTTTTCCCAAGCACTTGTAACGAACGTTCTCTCACACATTACTAACGACTGGAAGGCATCTTCATTCTCACGTGCACTGGCGATCGCTTTTGTACTGCCAATCGGCTATAAGCGGCTATCATATGCCACACTGCCACTGTCTGCCAGATTTCTCCATCGAGAACGTCCACTACAAACTAGCCGACTATACATACGTGTCCCCTGTTTCGTTCGGCTACCGAAAGAATATGCTGCCTCGTCAAATCACATTCGGCGGGCCGAGAATAATGCAATAATGTCCGCCGCATGTATGCAGATGTGCAGATGTCTAATACCATCCATCCAATGACCGGGATCCTGGTTGTCCATTGCTGGATGATCAGAAGACATGAACTCGTCATTCCCGATCTGTATTAGGGGATATTGGTTCATTGGTTTGAATCGGAGAGCATTTCTGGTCTTATTTGTGTGTACCGCTCCATCGATGCGTGAGTCTCGGACATACAGTTTGGGTCATGCATCGCTGACTTGTATTTTTGGCTGTATTTGCAGTCAGCATTAATGGCAACTCGATCACAGTAGCCTCGAATAATCCGGAAAGGACCCTCAGTGCTACAAGCCCAGCATTTTTTCCCATGCTGCGTGACAAGTCGTAGTCACTCCCCAGCAGAGGAGTGAAAATGCCAAGTACTTTTCGGCCTGCGACAGTCCGTATATCAATAGGGCTGACAAATGGCATTGCCGTTGTCAAAGATAAGCTTCATATAGCAGCACGTAGGTCAAAAGCTCTTCCAGCCCTCGTGTAGATTACCGGTCCTCCTGTGAGTCGGGACGACTGGGCATGGGCCGGTCTGAAAAGGCTGCTACACCAGAAGACCACTCACTGTGGCTGATCTGCTTCTTTTAGCCATACCTTACAGAATTTTGGAGTGTTTGAGAGACAGGACTAAGTTCCCGATGCCAGTCAGTCCAGCGGGAGCGGACATGAGATAGTACAGGCTAGTCGAGCTATGGCACTTGAGTTATTCGATCGGGAAGACTTTGACCAATCTCTCGGCGATATTGTGCGTCTTGCCAAGGAAGATGAGATGTATGTCTGGAAAGTAGCAGATCGAGACCCGCTCCCACGATACGTACGCGAGAAGCTGGTCCTGGTGGGAGATGCTGCGCATTCAATGCAACCACATCAAGGCCGAGGGGCTTCGCAAGCCATAGAAGACGCAGGTGTGCTTGGTGTATTGATGCCAGGTGCTTCAACTTCCGATTTCATCATTGGAAACATTCAACAGACTTCGTGTGAGACGAGGCAGTGCGGTCCAGCTTCTTTCGAGGTTAGAAAGTCTCGAAATGAGTTCCACTCCAGACACTGTCGCGTAACTCCGCACTTTCGTCTCCGAGGAAGAGCTACCAGCGGGTGTGTATCTTCCACACGCTCTCTTGTTGAAACCAATGCTGACCCAAGTATAAGTCGATAGTCCATACACATCGCATTGGCTATTCTCGTATGATTTTTTTTTGGCTGAGGCGCATAGAGCAATGGCTCATTGCTGAAGATTCGCTGCACGGTCGACACATGGAAATAGACGTTAGACCAGAAGTATACGAAGCTTGCGAATGCAGTATGACTTGTCCGATTCACCATTCTCCTCAGCTCTCTCTGCTGTCATGTTCGCTTCGGTCTGCGGTATTCGAAATGACGTTTTCGGCCAGTGAGTCCGTACGGCCATCGATGGCCAGCAATACAGTGCGAGGGCGGATAGTGCGGAGAGGATGAGGGAGAGACGACTGGATAAGGAAGACAAAACCGAGGTGCAAGGTGCGAGGAAGATATGGGCCATAGCGGCTACCTGAAATACAGGATCCCCGCCACTCGATCAAGGGCTACTGTAGAGTTCGAAGTAGTGTAGAGTCGCGGCCAATTTCTCCTTCACTACTCTCGCAACACCTAAGTCCAACATGTCGTCGATACGGGCGACGGCCAGGTCGTCTGGCTCATTGCTCTGCCGGGCATGCAAGCGTCCAGTAGCAACGCAGCCATTCGCTCTGCAAGCATTGCGGGCACTGTCTACAGACAGACAGCACAAGGTGGTCTTGCCATGGTGAAACATTGGCATATAATGTTTCGACAGCTGATGCGTAGAGTAGCTGCTATCCTCCCACCTCGAGCAAGCCGACTCTACCGTATACGATATAATTCAAAAGGTTTGGTCGATCGCACACACCGTACGACATGCGCCTGAACTCGTCTTAACCTATAAATAGGAGAAAAGACGGCAGAAGCACTTTATCAACCTGATCCCATCCGAAAACTTCACGAGCCAAGCAGTGCTCGACGCGCTTGGGAGTGTTATGCAAAGTGAGGCGAATGGATGAGCTTGGAGATCGCACGAGCTGATGTGGAGCAATAGATAAGTACTCTGAGGGATACCCTGGAGCACGATACTATGGAGGCAATGAGTTCATCGATCAAGCGGAGACGCTATGTCAAGAGCGAGCATTGCAGACCTTCAGGCTGAACAACGACTCATGGGGAGTCAACGTACAACGTTTGCGACACAACATGATCTATCTCCATGATTTTCGCTAACATCTTTTCCAGCACTCTCCGGATCGCCTGCCAATCTCTACGCATACTCGGCCGTTCTTAACGCACACGACCGTATCATGGGTCTTGACCTCCCTCATGGCGGCCATCTATCGCACGGCTACCAGATTCCCAACAAGAAGATCTCCATGATCTCGAAGTATTTCGAAACCTTGCCATATCGATTAGACGAGACGTCTGGCCTCATCGACTACGATCGCTTGGAAGAGATGGCATTGCTTTACCGACCGAAGATCATAATTGCAGGAACAAGCGCATATAGTCGATTGATCGACTACGATCGGTTTAGAAAGATCGCAGACAAGGTGGGCAACTGCTACCTGCTCGCAGACATGGCACACATTTCTGGTCTTGTAGCTGCAGGCGTAGTTCCGTCGCCATTCGAATATGCAGACATTGTTACAACGACTACCCACAAGAGCTTGAGAGGACCGCGAGGAGCTATGATCTTCTTCCGCAAGGGCGTGCGAAGTGTCGACAAGAAGGGTAAAGAGGAGCTCTATGACTTGGAGAACCCGATCAACGCTTCCGTGTTCCCAGGACACCAAGGAGGACCGCATAATCACACCATCACCGCGCTCGCAGTAGCACTTCACCAAGCACAACAGCCAGAATTCAAGGAGTATCAGCAACAGGTTCTCGAGAACGCGAAAGCGCTAGCAGGACGTCTTGGTGATGCGAAAGAGTCAGGTGGACTTGGATACAACATCGTCTCTGGAGGCACAGATAATCATCTTGTGCTTGTGGATCTAAAGGACAAGGGTATCGACGGCGCGCGGGTAGAGCGTGTATTGGAACTGGTCGGCGTTGCCGCAAACAAGAACACAGTACCTGGTGATAAGTCCGCCCTGAAGCCGGGTGGCCTTCGCATGGGAACTCCGGCCATGACAACGCGAAACTTTCAGCGCGACGACTTCAAGCGTGTGGCAGATATCGTCCATAGAGCGGTCAATATCACAAAGACGCTCGATGTCAAGGCGAAGGAGGCGGCTGAGAAGAGTGGGCGCAAGAACCCAGGCAGCGTGAACGCCTTCCGAGAATACGTGAAGAACGGTGAAGAAGTTGTTGAAATCGTCGAGCTCAGACAAGAAGTCGAGGCATGGGTCGGCACTTTTGCACTGCCTTGGTCTGACACCGAGATGGCGCCATAGTAGGCGATCAAGGAGTTTTTGCATGGGTAATCAAAAGAGCATTGAGTGGCGTTTGCAAGGAAGCACTGTGCTCTTAGCGACTGGTTTGTATATACCTATTCTTCAACACGGGTGCGCCGTTCGAGGCAGCTGAAATGCTCACGATACGCCATTAGCATTCAAAACAGCAACGTAGATCCACGGCTAATAGCCTCGGGGCCTGACAATGCTTGCAGGGTTAGAAAGAATGCCATCTGCTACTGCTGCTTCACTCGCTCCTTCCTGCATGTGAGCCTTGGCGAGCGTTGGAACGTGCTTGCCGAACCCGCCGCCTCGACTATCTTCACTTCGCACTTCCCATCATCTTCCATAAAATCACCACACCGAGTCGACTCTCGAATTGACAAAACGATAGTAAACGTTGCGGTGGACAGCAAAGTAACCACCATGCCATACCCATCAACAGGCTCGGCCGTAAACACGCTCCTAACTGTAACGAGCACGCTGATCCTATCAGCAGATATCGATGCGCACTCGCCCAAACTCGCTGCAGCCATGCCCGAAATACCTACGCCAGCGCCTACTTTGTCTGGTGACACTCGAACCCTGAGGTGGTACGAGAAGCCGGCATGCACACCAGCAGCGGTCGGACTCTTCCTTTACAGCATCGCCAGCTTGGTGTTGCTAATGTATTTGTGCGTCGGAGGCCGTCTGGACTCTAAGCTCAACGTGAGTCGCCCAGTACAAATTCCTACTGTGACAATACTAAATCCAGCATGACAGATCCAGCCCTCGATCCGCAGCCGACGGCGAGAGCAGCAACGCCGACAGCGCGAATATTGGGAGCGTTACGATTCGGAAGTGGCGCAAGCACCAACCTCCGTGCCACAGCGAAATCGCAGCGACTCCATTGTCACTATCATGGGCAATGGGGACGAAGCAGAAATCGCAGCCATCCGTCAAGAGCTACGCGCTGCTGGCATCGACATCTCCGAACGCACGTTACGGGAGCAGCGACGCCGACATGATCAGCTTTATGACGAGTTCGACGAGGCCAATCGCATCATCACGTGGCCTGGAACTCAACAACCGACTGATGCGGAAGTTGAAGCTGCGTACGAGGCAGAGCTGGAGCGGGTCCGGCATAGGCGGTCTTTGAATGAGGCTGGGTACCTGGCTCGCCTTACTCCTGAGCAGCGCCGAGCCCGAGCAGACGCTCAGATCATGGAGAATATGCGAGCGCTTGGAATGTTGTGAGGAGGTGTTGAGATGCGCAAAGCAGACCGCGAGTGCAGATTCTGGGACAGCGGAGGACATAGCATCGCTTTATCTGGTTGAACGAGGCTTGGTTGGTCAAGAGGTATTACAGATCCGCTGGGTCGTTCTCAGGCAGGTCTCATGGCTACTCCTGATCGCCCAGGGCGCGGCGTCACCAAGTTTATGAAGCCTATGATAGTCAACTTTGTCTGGACTCAATGCGTTGCCCCTTTCATGTTGGTGGCATTACGCGTCCATAATTGGCTGATCGAGATGTATGAAAATCTCTCATCTGAATTCCTGCTTCTTTCATGCTGCTTGTACTCTAGCTTCGACCTTGCCTTTGATTGACGGCTGAAGTCCATTGGCAAAAAGTCTCCAGCTCTGCTGTGAAGCTCCCGTCCTGCATAGCTGACTTGAAGTTGACGCAGTGGTCGAAACACACGGTCAGCTCAAACTTTCATGAATCGTTTTTTCAAAAACTGCAAAAAGAAACTCTCCTACATTTACGATTCCACGCGAAGTGGCTTCATCAGAGATAGTGAAAACCCTCTTTCGAGATTTTATCAACTGTATTTCCCGCCTGACAGGTCTTATTATGAGCATCAACTTCGCTCGCCGATTGCAGGGTTCTAGAACGCAATCGCTCTCACCACGAAGCCTGTGGGTTGAGCATTGTGATTGGTCTATGAGATATTGTGAAGTTGTGGTGGTATATGAATGTTGCCTTCGGTTAGTGAGAAGTGAGTCAGGCGCGAGGAGCATTCCCCAGAGATCGAATCATCAATGATCAAAGTCGATTTCTTTCGAGAAGTCAGTAGCCAACGTCAGTCTAGCGTCGTAAGAGGGGAACCTGATATCCTCAATCGATTCTCTATCGTGAATCTGCCATATAGGTGTCTGCTGCTGTAGAGCTGAGTATGACATCCTCTTTCAACGCCAGCGCTATGCGGCCATACACTCATGAAAGCAACTCCATCGTATCATCAATCACATCTTCCGTCTTTCCATCCTGTCCGCCATCGCTGTTCCCATAAATTACAATCGAAGCTCTTCTTCCCAAGTTTGACATTGACCGCATTATGCGCTTCGCACATCCAGCGTCCAAACTCTTCTCTGTTACTGACTTGAGGTTCATTGCCGTCTTTCATCCAAGCTCGGAAATCATCTGCGCAAACCCAGCACGGGTACATTTTCCCAAATAGACTCAAGAACTGCTTGGTCTCGGATTGCTGTACGAAGGATGGCTTTTCGGGATAGTTGGCGGTCATGGTATGGAGTAACGTCCAAGTTGATCGCCCGAGCTCCTCGACGTCTGCTGGACAATCTGATGTCGATGCGGTCTGCGCCTGGGTCTGGGCTTGAGCTATCGAAGCGAATGGACTGCTACCTTTCGTACTCTGTTTCATCATCGCCTTCCATGCAGCACCGGAGGTGCAGGTTTTGCATCTGTAACACTGTAAGCTGTGGCTTAATGACCGACTCAAGCATGGACAACATACGGCTTGCCATCAGGCCCAAGCACCACGCCTTTCGGCAGAGGTCTACTGCCATCCCGCAATTGAGCCTGCTGCTCTTCTGTCGCCATTATCGGCTGCACTGGCACGCCCGTCTCCTTCTCAACCCTACAAAAGAAATACTGCAAGATAGGAAATTCGACTTGGGTGACAGGCATCTCATCTCTCCGCCATCTCAAACACCTGCCAAATCCGCCGCCAGAGACGCAAGCATCAGCCACAAAATAGAGTTCACCGGCTGCCGATCGTGCCGAGACTCTCGTGTAACGTCCATTCACATCAATCCACATCGACCTTGCCATTTCACGTCTGTCCTTGACATGAAGCTGGCCTTCATACGGACACAAATCATAAAGAGACAATGGAGCAAGTGACGGCTGGTCTCGGAGACTTGAGCCTAAACCAGATCCCCATCTACCTCCTCAAAACCAAATCCTCACCCTCAGACAATTACGAAGAATACTTCAGCACGATAGAAAACGGCAAATTTAAACCCATCTTCGTTCCAGTCCTGGAACATCTGTTCCGAGACGATGCTTTGCGAGCTCTGAAACGGCATGCAGAACGCTTCGCATTTGCAGGCGGCAGCGAAGCCACAGCACGACAGAAGGCCACCAACAATCCCGCAAAACGCCATAGCGGGATCATCTTCACATCTCAACGAGCCGTGGATGCGTTTAGCACAGTGATCATGAAATTGGATCCTTCCAAGAAACAAGCTCTTTTCGATAAGGATATGCCACTCTACGTTGTTGGTCCTGCTACGGCGAAAGGAGTCGCTGCGCTGGACTTGCCGTGCCCGATTCTCGGCGAGGAGACTGGGAACGGTGATGCATTGGCGCAGTTCATTCTGAAGCATCAAAATAGTTTATCACCAGAACTCACCGCTCTGAATGGGAGGAAATTGCCACTTTTGTTTTTGGTTGGAGAGCAGAGGCGGGATATCATTCCAAAAACTCTGCAGTCTGAGGATTTGCCTCCTACACAACAGATCCCTGTGACGGAGGTGATTGTATACGAGACTGGCGAGATGACGACTTTCGAGGAAGAGTTCTCAGATCTGCTTTCTGAGGCGAAAGCGGCGAAGGTCAAGGAGCAGTGGGCTGTTGTGTTCAGTCCACAGGGTTGTGAAGCTATGCTAAGTGCGCTCGGCTGGCTGGATGAGAAGTCGGGCAAGTATAGTTCTGGGCGAAGAGAGATCATGTCTGGACCGGTGGCGACGAGGATTGCTACGATCGGTCCCACTACGAAAGATTTCTTGCAGACGCAGTTCGGGTTTGAGCCAGATGTTTGTGCTGAGAAGCCCAGTCCAGAGGGTGTGGCAGATGGCATTCTCAAGTTCAGGGATACTGCATGATCTATCAAAAGCACTCAAGATACCCATTTGAAGCTTTCATCAAGCATGTTGCAATCCTATCCTTTTGCACTATCTTTCAAGATCTAAGTCATTTTAAGCCCACCAATACCATGACTTCCTCCAGTGCCAGTGCCAGTCAAAGGTCTCGGTCTTGCTGCAGGCTGCTCTGGTAAATATGCTGTGCCGTTGTCCTGAAAAGCGAAGTCATTGAGCTCCGGCTCTTGAACAGCACCTAGAGCAAATTCTGCGCTTTGTCGAATGCGTGTCACGCTCACGTCGAAAACATCATACCTTTGATATCCTCCGCCAACTACATCATGGAATTGCTTCGGCTCGACGCATTCATTGAGATCCATATCTGCGTATACAATACCCTCCTCGCCCTGTATATGTTCGCCAATTTGCGCGCCAGACGGATCAAGGAACATGGAAGCGCCTTGAGTGAGTGATTCTAGTGTCTCCGCTGCGGAAGGCGAGTGCTTGATGATCGTGTCTGCCTCAACAGTCAGTACTTCGAATTTCCCGACCTTTGAAATTGACGGCAAAGCTACCTTCCATTTCCTTATCCATATACCCAGAACACATAACACCAAAGACTTTACCCTCAAAGCACTGTGCAGAAGTCCTCGTCCGGTTGGCAGCCAGATTATCATACTGTTTCCCGCCATCCGCCAGACGTCGCGTCGGCCAAACCGCAGGCCAAGATGTGATATGTAATTGCTCTCCTTGCGCCATCAAAGACCAACGAGCCAAAGGGTTGGTATTCTCCCCACAGATAAGTCCTCCCACTTTGCCACAACGGCCTGTATCGACGACTTTAAGACCCGCTCCATCTCCGGGCGACCAAGTTAACTTCTCATAGAAAGTTGGCATAAGTTTCCTGTGGTGGCAGAGAATCTTGCCTTCGTCCGAAATGAGAACCGAAGAATTCCAAAGACATCCAACACTGACTGGCGAACGCTCGTTGAAGCCAACGTGGGCAAAAATCCGGGATTGGGCACATGCTTGTTGAAGCGTTCGCATCTCTTTGCCATTGATCAGAATGCTTTGCTCGGCAAGTCTTCCGAATAGGTTGTGATTGTCGATTGGCGCGGCTACGGCAGCCCAAAGTGGATAGCCTGGAACGTGGACTTCGGGAAAGGCTACCAGGTCTGCTTTGTTGCGTGCCGCTTCTTGTATCAGGCCGATGGTCTTCTGTACGGTTTTCGCTGTGTCAAGAAAGACCGGTGCTACATTACAAGCTGCCACTCGCACTTTGGGAAGCCAGGTCGCCATCAGGAAGGACTCCTGCAATTCTTGGTCACCCTTCAAGCTCTAGAAAAGGATCTGGAGGAGGCAGGTTTTGGCCGGGGTTTGGCCACTACATGCGTGTAAGTGTCCACTTGTAGGGCGTGATGGGCTAGAAAGTAGTGGTTTTGAAGCTGCCCGACACCTCGTGTTCGCTTCTTTACGTGATGCGGGGTCGACCGCGGTCCAGGAAGTAAGTCAATTGGAGTCGGAAACTGTAGAGAAATGCCATTTTCTCGACCCTATCGATATGTTGACTGTTGGGAGAGCTCACTGAGGTCGTTTTGCCAGCCACGTCACACAATTGCCATGAACAATTTGCTCGTATGATCGGATGCTAGAAGCATCATGGTCGTCAATCGGCTCATCGAAAGCTGCCCAGCCATTGGCCTTGCTTGTTCTAGCTTGCCCCCTCGAAGTAACATACTTGGCGTCTTGTAGGTGAGCAGACATCTTGCTCGATGCTTCAAATCTTTTGTCTCTAGTCAGTCTTCTGCCTCTAGGCTCATGGCCATAATCTTGCGCATCGTTTCTGTTCGTGCTGCGGTTGGGTGGTTGGTATTGCTGACCAAAGTCGGTCTTACGAGGTAGCCTTAATGATTGCCATCTTGGGCCAGAGACTGTCCGCCAGGTGGAGAACGTGCGCGAGAGACGCTCAGAAGCAGCACGTCGGACCCCAGTTGCCTCGGGTCTGCGCGAACTGGAGCGTTCGGTCTTCCCATAAGGAATCTGCTGCTCTCTGTGCAAACCATCAATTTGCTTATCACACGCAGAAGACTCCGCTTGAACGCAGGCAGTGTCCTCCAACTCTGCAACATGCGGCGCCTGTACCGATTCTGGTAATGCTCTCGGAGCGCCATAGCTGGATTGCTGAGTCCATCTGGCACTTCGGCACGAAAGGTTGCTTGATAGCAACAAATGCTCGTTAAAATAGTCAGACCTGAGCGTTCGATGGCATCCAAGACACGTCTTCAGCCAGACCGGCCGTCCAATTTCCAGATGTCTGGTAAAGACATCGTCCAGAGGGAATTGTTGGAAGCATGCCTTGAAATTGCTGCGAAACAGCATTGATCTGCGAGACGTCTCCTCATGGCCATTATATGACAAGCCGCCCTCCGCGAGGCATGTCTTAGAGGCTGTCGGATGAACCTCTTGGCTGCTGCCAGCCACCGCGTTTTCGGGCAAGAAAGCGTCTCTCTTCGTCACGATGGCGTCAGCTTCAGCTTCCGAGACTATGTTCGCGATTGGAACATGGCTAGTAGCAGTCAAATGCTTGAGATTCTGGCGCTGTTGATGCGGGCATTCCTCTCCTGTGATCAATAGTGCTAGAAGGCCAGAGAGGTGCACTGTCCAACCTCGGATGAGGCCGGAACGCACCCATGAAAGTAATGATGTTGTGAAATAAAGGACACTGGAGAAACTGAGAATTGCCATGCCATCAAAGGAGATGGCGAAATTCAAGCATAACATGATGAATCAGAAGCGACACTTCTTCTAGCGAAGGACTCAGTAGCTCGTACATACCGTCAAATCTTACCTGAGCATCTTGTGCAATAATGCGCTCGTGATCGATAATAAAATGTGCTCCTAGGCGGCTAGCGCGTGCCTAGAGGAGTGCGAGCGAAGCTTTCGCCTTATATATACTAAGCTAATTCGGTTCTTTAGACCTCGAAGCTAGACCTCGAAGCTATTACTATTATTATACGATTTAGTTCTATTAGAATAGTTTATTAGGAATAAGTATTTTTATATTTTTATATTACTATTTTTCTTTTCTAGTATTTTAGATACTACTTTATTATTTTTAACTTTATATATATTACTTACTTTTATTCTAGTTTTCTCTAATTTTTTATATCTATTACTACTTTTTATATTATTAAAAAAACTATTTTTAATTTTTTTCTTTAATGTTTTACAGTTTTTCTATTTAGTATCTTACTTGTTTTACTTACCCATTTTATATTTTCTTATTTATTTTTATTATATGTTTTCTTTTTTCTAATACGTCTAAGTCCTCTTATTTATATCCTTATTTATTACTTGTTTTCTATCTTACTACTTAGTTTAGTACTAGCTTATTATTTAGTCTATTAATTAGCTTATTATTTAGTTTATTATTTACTTTGTTCTCTAGTTTTTTATTTTATCTATTATTTGCTTTATTATTTAGTTTCTTCTCTAGTTTATTATTTACCTTCTTTTTAACTTTATTATAAGTTATTTATTTACTAGAATATAATTTATTTTATTAATTGTTTAACTAATTGTTTAACTAATTGCTTTACTAATTGTTTAATTAATTATTTAATTAATTGCCTTACTAATTGTTCTACTATTGTTTTATTAATTGTTTTATTAATTGTTTTGTTAATTGTTTTGTTAATTGTTTTATTTATCGTTTTATTAATTGTTTTGTTAATTGTTTTGTTAATTGTTTTATTAATTGTTTTGTTAATTGTTCTATTAATTGTTTTATTTGTTGTTTTATTAGTTGTTTTATTAGTTGTTTTATTAGTTGTTTTGTTTGTTGTTTTGTTAATTGTTTTACTAACCAGGATAGTACCCGTACGTAAGTACTTCTGCTCCTTCTACTTACGTAGTAATAGCGGTAGCGCCCGCGAGTTTTTAAATTTTATATATACCTAGTATAGCGGAGCCGCGAATTTTAGGGTTCCTCGCTCTTATTCTCGCTCTCGTTCCTTTAATATTTTTCGGTAATTTTATAAATTTAAATCGTATGTTTTCTATAATTAAAATTAATTTTTCTATAGGTTCTTTTATTAAAAGTTGTTTTATAAATTCTTTTATTAATGTTTTAGTTAATTTTCTTATTAATTTTCTTATTAATTGTTTGTATATTTTACTATATATTTTACTATATATTTGAAGTATTAGAAGGAAGGCAAAAGGCTTTACTAGCGGTTGTTCGGGAAGTCGGCGCTTGTTCGGGAAGTCGGCGCTTGTTCGGGAAGTCGGCGCGGTAACGTCTTCGGAGGCCGAGTTTGTCCGTCCCACCAGTTCGTGTAGAATGCAGCCAATCAGAGCTTCAGCTTTCTAAAATCCGGGGAACCACGTGCCTGGTCAAACAGGGAATTAAGCCACTGTGTGAGACCTGCTATCGTAGTGCGAGCTTCGCTCGCAACTAGGAAGTGTTGTGGACCGCGGGCGCGTTCCAAGAGTAGCAGCGCAGAGGTCATCCACGTTCGAAAATTTTCGGCTTGGCGTTACTTAAAAAAAGCCGGCGGTGAGTACCTCCCTAACCTAGGCTACCCCGGATTTCCTAGGTACGGTGTACACTCTATATACGAACTTAAATTCCAACCCGGCATCCAATCATTTGAGTTGGTTTGCTGTTTGACGAGTGTCCTTATACACTTTATTGAGGGCCTGAAATTTTCGGGAGCAGGGGTGTCCGGCTACTATGTAGCGTTGTAATCCTCCGGCGGCAGACTATTTAATACTTTGGACCTCGCTATAATAATAGCACAGTTCAAGGTATTAATTTTTAAATATTTTACGATCCCTTTTTTTTACTTTTTAGGAAAGGGGTTTTTTTCGAAGTCTATTATATATATATATATATAATAAGATAGTATATATAATAAGATAGTATATATAATAAGATAGTATATATAATAAGATAGTATATATAATAAGATAGTATATATAGTAAAGAGTATATATAAACGTATATATAGAAAGTAAATATACTAGTTATAGGTATATATTTATAATGCTAGTATACAATATATTATAAGAGTATTAGGATAGATTAGGCTAATATTAGTAGAAACTATACCGTTATTACCGGACAACTTAGTCCGTTATATAACCTAGATATATTCGAAAATCAAAGAAATATATACGTTTACTTAAATTATAGAATTAGAGCCGCGCGAGTTAGTATAATAGTCTAGCAACCTGTTAAGTTACTTAGATAGGAACTCGATAATAGAATTTCCTCTTAGTAGTTACAGTCTATTCTAAACGCCGTCTAAGTATAAAACTATATATAGTAGATTAATATATAAAGTACTCCTCCTCCTTGAAAGTTAAAACCTAACTCCGATATAGTAGTACTACTACCTCCTATCCTAGACGCCGTCTAAGCATAAAACTATATATAGTAGATTAATATATAAAGTACTCCTCCTCCTCGAAACTAACTCGTAGACTTAGCGAAAATTATATATCTAGTATAAAAAAAAAGTCGATATACCTACTAGACGCCCTAGAGCCTTACTATCGCCCCCCCCCCGATTAGGCTAATACTTAGTACCCTATAGGCTATTATATTAGGGCGCCCCTAGACTAGATAGCTATAGAATACGGAGTATCCTATATATATCTCGATAAATACTAATCCGATTTCAATAAAAATTATACTATTAGAACCGCGCGGGTCGGTTCTATAGAACGTAAAACTTTTATATAAATCGACGACCTTCGAATTTAGTATTAGTAGGTATTAGCTAGTATTAGCTCTAACTTAATTCTTAACTATTAATAATTCTATTTCTCCCGGCTATACTACTTAATATAGTCCCTACTATAGAAAGGCATATATCTTAAAGGAGTTATAAGATCGATAGGTGTTATAGTAGCTGCCTAGAAAGCACCGACAAGTCCTACAAGCTAGCCGCTATGCTATAAAGTGATGTCGGATTTGAGTTGCCTTAGTAGCAGGGGCCCCTAGCGAAGCAGGTCGCCTAGTACGCCTAGTACGCCTAGTACGCCTAGTACGCCTAGTACGCCTAATACGCCTAGTACGCCTAGTACGCCTAGGTCGCCTACTTAGCCGTATAACGTAATATCTTAGGGACTCCCGCGGAGGCCGTATATAGTAGAACAATACGTTACATATTAATATACGAACGACGGGACTGTACTAAACTACGCGTACGCATATACGGACGATAGTAAGCGAGATATATACAGTCGTAGGACAGATCCGAGTAGTAGGAAGGAACCGGAAGGTAGGGAAGAGCTAGGAGAAACATGTTTACTTAAGAGCGGTCAAACGAGTTCGTATACGCGCGCTACGCTAGTTAGCTAGGAGATAAAGGTACTACGAGACAGCGGACAAGCAGGATATACGTGCTTACGCTTACGCGTCGGACGCGCTAGACGGCCGTAGGGCGGAATACTAAGGAAGGGGCTCTCTCTCTAAGGTACCCTTCTTCCTTTCTTCGCAGTTCGTCTTATATAGATAGCAGCTATATTAATTTAGTGCTCCCTTTAGTTCAGTTTAAAGTTTCGTATATATTCTTACTACTTAGCTACTAACCCTTATATTACGAACTGCCTCAAAAAACGCCTCTATTAAGATAGACACGCCTAACGAATAGATTCAAAACATAAGACCTAACGACGTACCCGATTTTTCAAGCTTAGTATAGAATAAAATCCCCGCTACGCGCGAACAGCTAGATTACGCCTACGCTACCGACCCGGAACTGCTCGTTAACCTGCTTAAGGCTTACAAAGATACTACTCGTTTCCTCTCGGTCTCCCGTACTAGCCTTAGTACGGCTCTTAGCGACGCGAATGCTTCTATTGCGGAAAAAGAAGACGAGGTAGGCCGCCTCTAGTCGCAGCTCGCCTCTACTCGCCTAGGCGCCGCGGTACCCGCTTCTTACCTATTTACACCTACTTCGAATAAGAGTAAGAAGCTAAGCGACCCCGAACGCTTTACCGGCAAGCGTAAAGTGTACGAAGAATTCAAGATATAGGTTAAGATCCGCTTTCTCGCTAACGCCGACTACTATCCGATTAAAGCTTTAAAGACCGGATTTATGTTTTCTCTGCTCGGTAGCTCCGCCCTCGATTCCTACTATAGCCTCTTAGAAAATGCAGAAACAACTATAACGGCTACTATCTAGAAGGCCCTCGACGCTAGTTTCGGCGACCCCGACCGTAAGCAAACTGCGCGCCTAAACTTAGACAAACTCAAGCAAGCAAATAAGACCTACTAAGAGTACTATGCCGCCTTCTAATACGAGATTAGGTACGCCGAATACCCCCCGGACGTCGCTAAATGGATCTTAGTGCGCGGCCTTAGCGAAGAAATGATGCTATAAGTCCGCGATAAGGATACGGAGAATCTAAACATTACCGAACTATATGCCTTGCTTACGCGTATCGACAATACGACTCGAAACTTCGCGAAAATTATCGCTAACCGTAGAGGCGCCCGTACGAATACTAGTCGCTTTACGTCGCCGTTCGCTACGCTACCGTCGAAGTTATAGATAGCTTAGACGCCGGCTTTAGCACTAGCTCCGGCTATAGCCCTAATACCGCTAGGCGCCTAGCCTGCCGCCGATCCGATAGATTTAAGCGCTACCTCGCTCGGCGCCCGTCTACGCGCGCCCCTAGTAAATAGCAAGCTTTCGGAAGAAGAGAAGTAGCGTCGCCGTACGGTAGGAGAATGCATCTACTACGGAGTAAAAGGATATATTGCTCGCCTCTGCCCGTCTCTCGTCGGCCGGCTAAATATGCTAACGATATAGCGAGTCGCCGCCGCGAATGTTACGACTCTAGATACGCCTTTACCGGCTAGCGCTACTCCGAGCGGCTAGGGAAAAGCTTGAACCTTATATATAGTCGCTTATAAGGTTCATTCGTTCTAAAACTAAGAGTATCTGCTGCTACCTTCCCTTTCTCTAGCTCGGCTATAGAGAAAGAGTTAGTCTGCTAGCCTTTCGTAGTAGAAACGTTAATAGGAAATCAAAAGAAATTATTGAAAACTGTAGCTCTTATTAATAACGGCGCAACCGGCTACTCGTTTATAGATTACGACTATACGAGAGAGCTCGGCTTAACGTTCTAAGACCTTACGTACGCTCGGGAGTTGGAAATGTTTAACGGTACAACCGCGGCCGCCGGCAAGGTAACCTAGATCTGCTACTTATCTATTACTATCGGCCCGTATACCGAACATATTATGTTTTTCCTTACGAAACTCCCGAAGACTTACCCCGTTATTCTTAGTCTTCCTTAGCTTAAAAAGTATAACCCGGTTATCGACTAGGCCTCCGAATCTCTATCCTTTACGAGCAAGTATTGCGCTAAGTACTACTTTAACGAATCTAGTTCTACCTCCGATACTCCCCGAGATCGTACCGTGTTCGCTATTAGCGCGGCTGCCTTCTCGCGTCTTGCCCGCGACAAACGCACTTAGATCTTCGCTATAATAATATAGGATATCGAGAAGGCTATCCGAAAGTTCGACGAAGAACTAACGGATCTAAGAACGAAACTACCGAAGGAGCATTAGTACCGACTCTACTAGTTTTCGAAGAAGAACGCCGATATTCTGCTACCGTACCGGCTAGGTGTCGACTACAAAATCGAGCTAATCGATAGCAAGCCGCCGCCGTACGGCCCTCTCTACTCGATGTCTCGAGATAAGCTCCTCGTACTAAAGAAATACCTCGAAGATAACCTATAAAAGGGCTTTATCCGCCCTAGTTCCTCCGAAGCAGCCGCACTAGTTATATTTGCCTAGAAACCCGGCAGAGGTCTCCGTTTCTACGTAGACTACCGGGGCCTTAACGCGTTAACGAAAAAGAACCGCTACCTAATCCCTCTCGTAAACGAAACGCTCGAACGCCTTTCGAAGGCTCGCTAGTTTACTAAGCTCGACGTAATCGCCGCCTTTAACGCGATCTATATTGCCGAGGGAGACGAATAGTTAATAGCCTTCCGAACCCGTTACGGCCTTTTTAAATACCTAGTCTTACCGTTCGGGCTCTGCAACGGACCTAGCACGTTCTAATTATATATTAACGATACGCTTAAAGAATTCCTAGACGCCTTCGTCTCGGCGTATATAGACGACATCCTAATTTATAGCAAAACGAAAGCGGAACACTACGAATATATCGAAAAGGTACTTAAGAAACTCGTAGAAGCTAGACTGTATATCGATATCGACAAGTGCGAATTCTATAAGTAAGAGGTGAAATTCCTCGGCCTTATTGTCTCTTTAGAAGGTATTCGAATAGATCCCGGCAAGATCGAAGCCGTTCTAAACTAGGGAGTGCTACGAAACGTAAAAGAAGTCTAGGGCTTCCTCGGTTTTGCTAACTTCTACCGGAGATTTATACGGAATTTCAGCGGAATCGCCTGTCTACTTACGGCACTTACGCGGAAAGACGTCAAATTTGAATAGTTACCGGCCTATTAAGAAGCCTTCGACTAGTTACGGTAAAGTTTTACGACCGTACCGATCCTATAGTACTTCGACTTCGATAAAGAAACGCGCCTAGAAACCGATACTTCCGACGGTATAACTAGCGCCGTTCTCCTTTAACGAACGACCCCGGAAGATACGTAGCTACCCGTAGCCTACCTCTCTAAGAAAATGTCCTCCGTAGAATACAATTACGACATCTACGACAAGGAGCTCCTCGCAATCGTTAAGGCTTTCGAAGAATAGCGTCCGGAACTCGAAGGTTCTAAGTTACCGATCTAGGTTAGCTCGGATTATAAGAACCTTATCTACTTTCTTAAGAGCAAAATCCTTAGCCGTAGGTAGGTACGCTAGAGTGAGTTTCTTTCCCGGTTTAACTTCGTTATTTAGTATACGCCCGGCAAAGCAAACTTATAGGCCGACGTACTTATAAGGCGTAACGGAGACTCGCCTTTAGATCGAGGTCCGTAGCGTAAAGAACAGTCTATCCTTAAGGAGCATAACCTTAGCTAGGAACTATACGAGCTCCTCGGAGACGACTTTACCGGCCTAGAGCCTCTCGTAGTATCCTTTATACTAATAGCCGCTCCTGCCTTTCTCGGAGACGACGATAGCTCGGACGACGAAGATACGAGTTTAGAAAGCTTAGACAGCGACTAGGAAAGCGAAGAGGAAGTATAGGACCTCCTCGAACCTACCTAGCTCGAATAGCAGCTTACGACAGTATACGCCGAAGACGCTTTTACTAAAGGTCTAATTCAAGCTTTATAGAACGAGGAGCGGTTATACGAGAATATTTCTCTCTCGGAGTACGAGCTCCGTAGAACTCTACCGCGAGCATCCCGTACAATATTTAGAAATGCCCTCTACGTCCCGGATTTCGAAGATTTACGCGACTAGATTATACGTTCCGCTTATAACCCTCTCGGAATAGCATATCCCGGTCGAGCTAAGATGTTGTCTTAGCTCCGGAAGTAGTACTACTAGCCTAATCTGTACCGGGATGTCGACCGATTCGTTAAGAACTGCGTAGTATACCGTAGAGCGAAAGTAGATACGCGTAAGCCGCAAGGGCTACTAAAACCTCTTAAAGTCCCTCTACGACTATAGTAATACATTTTAATAGATTTTATTATAGGCCTACCGAAAGGATCCGACTTTAACGGCCTCTAGTTTTAAAACATACTAGTCGTAGTTTGCCGCCTTACGAAACGCAAGAAGGTATTGAATGCCCGCAGCCTAACCGTAAAGAATACGGCTTAGGTCTTCTACCGGGACGTATAGAAAGATACAGGCCTACCTAAATTAATTGTATCTAATCGCGGCCCGAATTTCGTTGCCCGTTTCTAGAAGCGCCTCTACGAACGATTAAAAATTCAAGCGCGCCTTTTAACGGCTTACTACCCGTAGACCGACGGACAAACCGAACGCGCTAACGCGTAGATCGAGCAAATTATTAGGTGCTTCTACAATTACTACTAAAACGACTAGCTAAGATTGACGCCTTCTATTAAATTTGCTATTAACAATTAGGAGTTAGCTACAACTTAGACTACGCCGTTCTACGCCTCTACTAGATTTCACCCTCGAATCGGTATAGAACCGATAGAGATCGAACTAGAGCCCCCGGCAAACGATCCGGAAAGAGATGCCGATACCTTCGCTCTTTAAATAGCCTAGACCTACTAAGAGCTCTAGGACGAGATAAGGTATACCTAAGAAGTGTACGAGCACTACGCTAATTAGCGTAGACGCGCCGCGCTAGATTACTAGGTCGGAGATTACGTCTACCTCGACTTACGATATATTAGAACTAACCGACCTTCGAAAAAGCTCGACTAGAAAAATCTAGGACCCTTCCGAATTGTAAAGAAAATCGGTATATACGTATACGAACTAGATCTCCTAGAAAATCTCAACATTTACCCGGTTAAATACGTTATTAACCTAAGAACCGCCGGAGAAATCGCAGACCCCGAAGATATCCCGCCGATACCGGAAGCTACCGAGGCTACCGATTAGGCCGAAGACGAGCCGGAATCTGCTTTAGGTACAGTGCGGGCGATTATCGGATAGAGCTTTAGTAACACAAATTTCGGAAATCTCAACCCTCCCGGGCCGTAGGGAGAGGTACAATAGGAGAGGTACTTAGACGAGGACACGACCTAGGAACCTCTACGCTATATTATCTTCGCCCGCGAAGCAATCGAGGAATTCCTACGAGACTATACCGACTATACGACAATAGAAGGAGCTGTCCCGGAATATTTTCTCCGAGAAGCGTACGAATAGAATTTAGATTAAGGTCTCCGACCCGAACTAGGATAAGAACACTAGCACCTATTGTATACGGACCTCCTTTAGCGTCGTAGGAACTCCGCGCAGAACGAGGGGGGGGCTACTGTTATAGTAGCTGCCTAGAAAGCACCGACAAGTCCTACAAGCTAGCCGCTATACTATAAAGTAATATCGGATTTGAGTTGCCTTAGTAGTAGGGGCCCCTAGCGAAGCAGGTCGCCTAGTACGCCTAGTACGCTTAGTACGCCTAGTACGCCTAGTACGCCTAATACGCCTAGTACGCCTAGTACGCCTAGGTCGCCTACTTAGCCGTATAACGTAATATCTTAGGGACTCCTGCGGAGGCCGCATATAGTAGAACAATACGTTACATATTAACATACGAACGACGAGACTATACTAAACTACGCGTACGTATATACGGACGATAGCAAGCGAGATATATATAGTCGTAGGACAGATCCGAGTAGTAGGAAGGAACCGGAAGGTAGGGAAGAGCTAGGAGAAATATGTTTGCTTAAGAGCGGTTAAACGAGTTCGTATACGCGCGCTGCGCTAGTTAGCTAGGAGATAAAGGCACTACGAGACAGCGGACAAGCAGGATATACGTGCTTACGCTTACGCGTCGGACGCGCTAGACGGCCGTAAGGCGGAATACTAAGGAAGGGGCTCTCCCTCTAAGGCACCCTTCTTCCTTTCTTCGCAGTTCGTCTTATATAGATAGTAGCTATATTGATTTAGTGCTCCCTTTAGTTTAGTTCAAAGTTTCGTGCACATTCTTACTGCTTAGCTACTAACCCTTACAATAGGGGTTAAGAGGTCGTAGGTTCGAGTCCTATACTAGCTATTTTTTTTATTTATACGTAATTAATAGGAAATGTACTTAAATCTTTAATTAAATATTACTACTACGCAATTAATAGGAAATGTACTTAAATGTTTAATTAAATACTACTACTATTAAGCTAATACCTTTATACGCAATTAATAGGAAATGTACTTAAATCTTTAATTAAATATTACTACTATTAAGCTAACACCTTTATACGTAATTAATAGGAAATGTACTTAAATCTTTAATTAAATATTACTACTATCAAGCTAATACCTTTATACCTAATTAATAGGAAATGTACTTAAATCTTTAATTAAATATTACTACTATTAAGCTAATACCCTAGCTAATAAGCTAAGAAATGCGGGGTAAGTTAAATTCCCCTTTACTTCAATCTTTGTTTCGATTGACGTTCTACGCTGAAATCCGGGGTAAGTCAAATTTCCCTTCAATCTTTGATTGTATATTACTTCTGCGAAATTTCTCAGCCAATCATTTCGGTCTTAGCGGACAACTTGGATTTTCGCGGGCGGTGGCCGCGGTGTCTAGATTGGCAGCTGCGCTGCCAACCAAGCCGACGCGGGGCCATTGTTTGTAAGGGTGTGGACCACCGGGCGTTGTCTTGCATGTGGAAGAGATGTGGTTGCTGACGTGCATGAGCTCGAAGAGATTGCTTGACATCCCTGCCGTTGCTTGTCTCACGCGCCGGCAGAAACCGCGTGGGCGGCTTGGCTCGCAATCTCCCTGTCACTTTTGTCGTGTGCCCACCACCATCAAGTCGTCAGAGGAGTGCTCAAAATACTGGAAGAGAACTTTACATCAGTACAGGCGCAATCGATGGCCATACAGAGCCGGGGCAAGCTCAGAAGTCTCCCCACCAACTTTGTCGTATGATCTCCATTTCCAGTTCGTCCGAATATTGCTGCAGAAACTGATCTAGGATATTCTGCCAGTATGGCCGTAATCGATTGCCATACCAAGCAGACGTGGATTCGCAATGACTGGGATACCTAGAAGAAATTCGATGGCCACCTCGCAGCCAACGGTGAAAGTCTGGCGGCTGGAGTGCTCGCAGCTCCTCGAATCTGCGCTTCAGCTGGCGAAGCAGATCTTCGCGAGACTCCTCGGACAGTGTCTCATACAGCGTGCAATCCTTGGCCCCGGATGCGCTCCATGACAATATATGTCCGGGACGATGCTTGTGAACGGAGAAGTAGACCTTGGGCACAGGAATTGAAGTATGCTCAGCGATGCATCTCATGGGGTTGGCCTCGCTCGCTTGAATGGACAAACCGCCTGAGCCCGGTCTTTCAAGGGCAGGCGAATTAGAAGAGTACTTGACGTTCAGATGCTGCCGCGTCATGGAGCTCAATTGCGGCAAACTCCGGACGCTGCTTGGCATCGCTCAGCAGCTCCTGTTCCTCCTCCTCCTCCTCTTCTTCGAACCAGCAATGAGCCAGCTCAGTCTGTAGCCCTACAACGCTACATTAATGATTCTTTCTCTGATCAATGATGAACATGTCTCGTTCCAGATCTCCTTCGCATGGAAGCCCTCCACTGCACGCCAAGGCCATGTTCTCGTCGCAATCGATCGAACGCTTGCCTGTGACACTGCTCGACCCGCGCGAACCGTCTCATTGATAAGAGCAGAAGTTCTCCTGCGAGATTGGGGCTTATAGTCACAACCTTGCCGTCTATGCGACTGCAGTGAAGAGTCGAAAAGGAGGAATGCTCTCGTCAATGAAAAGACAGCCGACGTAGCATCCGATGAAAATTTCAGACCGGGCCAACGACACATTGTCTGGGACCTCTGGGTACCGCCCCAGACTGACGCCCTGGGAATCATACTGGATTGCGAACAATCCCCTAAAATTGTCGAACAGCGACAGGTGTCAACTGCGCAGTCATAGTATCTTGAGAATGGTTTGATGGCACAGAAGTCGCGAATGACATGGAGGCACTCAGAATACGCCTGCCCACGACTGTTCGAATAAGTCCAAGAACAATCCATATGGTCAACCAAACGACACCAATTGCGTAGTCTATGTCTATCATGCGGGCTGCGCAGACACGGAAGACAGTTCTGATAATGGCGCGAACAATTCTACTTCCTCCGTACAGATCCTTTAATTGTCAGAATTGATCGAAGACCGTAGAAGACCGTACAACGTCGGTCAATAATGTGGCACTACAGTCTACACATGCCCACATGCACAATATAAAGCGAGGTACAACAGAATAATGTGCAAGCTACAGCAGCTAACCAATTCCGAGGGCAGCCAAGGGCCCTTGATTCCGCGAAGACAGGGCGGACTGCTGTATTTCCCTGTCAGTCTCATTTGTGGTGCGCACGCTGCGACCGGACTCCGAAGACTGTTGGCTGTAAAATGGGAACATGTTGCAAGCTGCAGGATAGCCTAGGGACATGACATTGGACCACACTGGCCTGTCGTAGGCTGCCAGTCTGCCATCGCGCTTGGTATCCGGGGTTGCGTCAGCCCACTTCACCCCTCGCCCGCGCTCCGAAACCCCGGATAGAATGGCCAGCAGAGGTCACGTTGCTTGGCGTCCGCAGAGCTCCCGCTCCCTGACCTGACCTGACCTGACCTGACCTGACCTGTTTGCACACGTGACACCTTCCAGCTTGGATGAGATTACTTTTTACCCCATGCCTGCAAACGACCAGGAACAGACCTACTTGCAGCATTGCACGTCCCAATCATCGGAAATTGTCATGCGCCCATTCTGCCCTCTGCCACTGGGTGTATTGGAGACTTCGCCCAAACCTCGAAGCATCTACGCACGACAGATCTGCTTCTCTCAGACCAGAGATCACATCCTTCCTGTCCACGCCCTAATGACCAATTCCCGTATCCGTATCTGCCTTCTAGTCCCCAGGCTTCGCGGAGGCGCAATTTTGGATGATCTGCTTTAAGCATATGAAATGTAACATTGGACATGGGCACGATAGATTGATTGAATTTGATTCCAACCCTGCACTTCTCGTGGTCGTACCAACGTTACTTGATTATTACTACGACCAGGAGAACTGCCGGGCTCTCCGTATCGAGCTCGCGGTTCCATGCATACACAGCTGTATACTCGGTGGGAACACTGACACTATCCAGAGTTACTTAGTAGTATTGTGAGGAGTGGGAACAGCTGATGCAGAACTTTTGATCTCCTCTGTAGGTCGCCTCTCGGGCAGCCATGGTCGACCGATACAGCTCGATGCGTCCTTCAGCAACTAGAGCGGCATGGGGAAGATCCAAAGATGCTAGATATCGCTTGCGATGGCCATATTATCTCTCGGTTGCGATCTTGCTCTTCCTAGCTATTCTAGCAGGAAGTCAGGTCGCTCCACAGGACTCTCTGTTCTCGCTCCACGTACACGCACCGACCTGGCACACTCATCGCGTTCTTACTGTCCGATCACAAGACGAAGAAGAGGCGCCAAACCCGAATGACCAGAAGCCACCACAGCCGCCGCGATTGTTCAACGTCACTGTCGACAGTATAGCCAAATTGGCAGACCGTATTGCTGCAGAAGAGACGTCGATTTTTAAGGAATCCATCAAGAATTTCAAGCCAGAAAATGCAACATTTGAAAATATGTTGCTGCCCTATCTACAACATGAGAGCCAGCAGGATGCAGATGTTGCTCCTCTCTACATGTTGCCTAGCGTCGGCGTCGACGACACGCTCGCGAAAGCGTGTCGAAATGCGTCTGTCAAGATGGACGATTCCTTTAGCGACACCTACACATCGCCAGAGTTTTACGCATTGATCGACGCGGTTTACAAGAAGCAGAAAGATGACAAGAACCTTGATGACGAGTCTCGCGCCGCGATCAAGGACATTTGGCAGCAGTTTCAGGGCGCTGGCTTCAAGCTATCGAAAGGACCGCAGCGGACAAGACTAAATGATATCCAAGGTCGGCTTTCGGCACTTTCCTCAGCTTTTGACCTCGCAGTCAGTGGAGATCCAACGACTTTGTATTTCAAGCGCGAAGAGCTGGAAGGGGTAGAGGGTGATTTTCTGAATGGTCTGGAAAAAGGCAAAGGAGAGAACGATGGCAAGCTGGTGGTGCCTGTGGCGATCTTCACAAATTACGACACTATCACGAGACATTGCAAGAATGCCACAACGAGGCATACTCTTGAGACTGCGTACAATAACATGGCCGCGAGCAATATTGCAAGATTGGAAGAAGCCATCGCTATCCGCGACGAAGAGGCTCGGCTGCTTGGCTATCCGACTTTTGCTGCAATGCATATTGAGAAAACCATGGCACATACTCCAAAGGCTGTTGATGATCTCTTGGCCAATGTTCGACAAAAGCTTGCTGTGGCCAACGAGGAGGAACTCGAGGAGATGAAGAAGCTCAAGCTCAAGGAAGAAGGTATGTTGAAGCGGGACTGAGGTTGATCGTGGTCACTCTTGTGTCGGCTGGCCAACAGCGTTCCTCCCAGGGAGAATCTGGTCTTTCGCGAACCTTGATCCTTACTGACAGTTCTGAATCTCAGGCAATGCGGACAAGTTCTTCTTGTGGGATGAGTTAGTAATTTCCCCTCAAAAGTGGACTCCGATGTTGAATTCTGATCCGTCGACAGGTTTTACTACCTTACGAAGCTTGACCAAGACATCTATAAAGTCGACAATGACTTCATCAAGGAGTACTTCGAATCGACAACCATTGTGCAGAAGGTTCTCGACATGTATGCAGATATCTACTCGCTACGCTACGTCAAGATTGCAGGTTCAGATGCAGACAAGAAATCGCCAAGCGGAAAAGGCAGCGACTTGACCTGGCATCCAGACGTGCAGCTCTTCGAAGTTTGGAACAATGAAAAGGATGGAGCAGATGGTAAGCACAACTGATCCATCATTTCCACAACGAGAATCAGACCTGAAGCACTGCTCGAGGAGACACCTCGTTGCCGCGGCCGATATAGGAACTTTCTCCGGTGATGACTGATCTCTTGCTAATATAAGTGTCCATCAGCTAAGGGTTTCATGGGATACATCTATGTAGACCTGTTCTACCGAGTGAGTCATTTCTCATACAGACAATTGAAGGCAACGACTGACTTGTGACTGCAGAAAGGCAAGTCGTCCGGCTCATTCGAAGTGCCCATCGACCCCGGTTTCCAAAAAAAGGATGGATCGAGATACTATCCAACCTCAGCAGCGGTCCTGAACATCGTACGTACCCGAGCTCGCTATCGATTTGGCAGCGCTTTCTGCTGACACCTGACAGAAAAAATCTACTTCTGAGAAGCCAACTCTACTCCTTCGAAAAGAGGTCCAGACTTTACTGCACGAGCTCGGACATGTTACGCATCACACGGTATCGAGGACCAAATATGCCCGTTTTCACGGTCCTGGCCCGTGCCCACGCGACTTTGTCGAGCTTCCATCACAACTCATGGAACTATGGTCATACGACCGCAAAGTGCTCAAACGTCTGAGCCAGCACTATTCCTACCTCTCTCCAAAGAACCTCGACATCTGGAAGAAATCGCAAAACGACACCAACGCCAAACAACCGCCGGAAACCCTGTCAGATGACCAAATCGACAACATCATCAAGAACAAGAACGCCGCGAGCGGAAATTTCGAGACCAGACAAACCATGTACAGCATGTACGACATGGCCATCCACGAACAACCGTCGCAGCAGGCCGCCAAGACCGTCGACTCAACCCTCTTGTGGAACCAAATGCGCACGAACATCACGAAAATCCTAGGCGAAGAGGCTGTGGGCAAAGGTTGGCACGCGGGTCACCATCAATCGACATTCACGCATTACATGGAAGGCTACGAAGCCGGTTACTACGGGTATACGTGGAGTCGTGTCGATGCTGCGGATGTTTATTACACGGCTTTCAAGGACGATCCTTTCAGTGCGGAGGCTGGAGGGAGGTGGAGACATACTGTGTTGGAACCCGGGGGGTCGAAGGATTACGGGACCATTTTGGAGAAGTTTTTGGGCCGGAAGCCGACTGATGATAATTTTTATAAGAGTTTGGGGCTTGATGAGAAGACGGGAGTGAAGAAGAGGGATTTGAGTGATACTTATTAGGAGGAGGGAGGATGGGAGGGGAAGGTTGATGGGGGCTGGAAATGGAGGACGGGAGGTAGAGGTTGATGGGCGTGGAAGTGGAGGATATGCGGACACTCACTACGGTAGAGCAGGGATAGCGGCATTCTGAGGTCGAATCATCAAATATAATCTGGCCTGGGTCGTCTCGACTATATGCGTCGACACGATTTGACATGAAAGCACT